AAATCTACTACTACCACTACATCTACTACCACTACATCTACTACCACTGCATCTACTACCACTACATCTACAACCACTGCATCAACTACATCTACCACCACTACATCTACTACCACTTCATCTACTACCACTACATCTACTACCACCACTACATCTACTACCACTACATCTACAACCACTGCATCAACTACATCTGCTACCACTGCATCTACTACCACTACATCTACTACCGCTACATCTACTACCACCACTACATCTACTACCACTACATCTACTACCACTACATCTACTACCGCTACATCTACTACCACTACATCTACTACCACTACATCTACTACCACTGCATCTTCTACCACTACATCTACTACCGCTACATCTACTACCGCTACATCTACTACCGCTGCATCTACTACCACTACATCTACTACCGCTGCATCTACTACCACTGCATCAACTATATCTACTACCACTGCATCCACTACCACTACATCTACTACCGCTACATCTACTACCGCTACATCTACTACCGCTGCATCTACTACCACTGCATCAACTACATCTACTACCACTGCATCCACTACCACTACATCTACTACCGCTACATCTACTACCACTGCATCTACTACCACTACATCTACTACCACTGCATCAACTACATCTACTACCACTGCATCTACTACCACTACATCTACTACCGCTACATCTACTACCGCTACATCTACTACCACTGCATCTACTACCACTACATCTACTACCACTGCATCAACTACATCTACTACCACTGCATCTACTACCACTACATCTACTACCACTGCATCTACTACCGCTACATCTACTACCGCTACATCTACTACCACTGCATCTACTACCACTACATCTACTACCACTGCATCAACTACATCTACTACCACTGCATCTACTACCGCTACATCTACTACCGCTACATCTACTACCACTGCATCTACTACCACTACATCTACTACCGCTGCATCTACTACCACTACATCTACTACCGCTGCATCTACTACCACTACATCTACTACCACTACATCTACTACCGCTACATCTACTACCACTACATCTACTACCGCTACATCTACTACCGCTACATCTACTACCACTGCATCTACTACCACTACATCTACTACCGCTGCATCTACTACCACTACATCTACTACCACTACATCTACTACCGCTACATCTACTACCGCTGCATCTACTACCACTACATCTACTACCGCTGCATCTACTACCACAGCCAGCACCTCTGGAATGTTGTCGACAACAAACAAACGAACAAACTACGACTTCTAACATTGCCACCACCACCACCACCACTACTACTACTACTACTACTACTACTACTACTACTACTATTGCAGAATCGTGAAGATCTACTACTACTTCTACTTTACACTCGTGAAGATCTAGGGTGACTAACGGGAACGGGTGGTCAGGCTCGCTGACTTGGTTGATGCATGTAATCATATCCCACTTGATGCTTAGGATGTCAATCACTGGACAAACTACCGCTATAACTGCAACCTATGTACTAGTGCCACCACCACTACGTCTTCTACCACCATGGGGAGGTCGGCTAGCCTAGTGGTTACAGCGTTCGCTCGTCACGCCGAAGACCCGGGTTCGATTCCCGACATGGCTACAATATGTGAAGCCCATTTCTGGTGTCCCCCGCCGTGATATTTCTGGAATGTTGCTGAGAATGCGTAAAACCATACTTACTCACTCTACTACCACCACCACGAACACATCCCGTCAGAGGGTTCACGTGATTCGCAGCATCAGAAAGGCAAAGACAATGCCTGCCCAGGTTACTGTCACGGAGTTAGATGTTAATCGCAGTGGACGGCAGCATGCAACCGTCGCACTGTCACGCCAATCCGCAGAAGTGCCTTCGACCCATGACTGGGACACGTGCACAGAAGGAGGGAATGTACGAATAAGGATATAAACACAGGCAACTGAAGTGCACGTGAACGGTAAGAATTCACATGGTGTAAAACCGATTCTGGAAGGACACGCTAACATCTATACAGGTGCTGGGGCCCGCTAATATCTGGCCATATTTGTTGTTTAACGCTGCACTCGTGCAGCGATATTCCAGTTACGAGGACAGCGGTCAGTAATAATCGAGTCTGGGCCAGACAATCCAGTGATTGACATGACGAGCATCGATCCACGCAATTAGGATACAATGACATGCATCAGCCAAGTCACCGAGGCTGAACACCCGATCCAGCTAGCCGCCTCTTACAAGCATGGTCGTCGCCTTTTACGGCAAGCAGGGTTGCTGAAGACCTATTCTACCCCGGATCTTCACGGGTCTCAGGTGGAGTCAGGTGTCACGTCGCGTTATTGCACTAATATAATGATGTGTATGTGTGTGCGTGTGTGCGTGCGTGCGCTAGTCCGGACTATTGCTGGTTTTACACTGCAAGCCCAGTTAGATACCTTAACTCGGTATCTTTAACATGCATTGCACACACTCAGGCACGTTATACCGACAACGGCCCTGTCACTCCTTGTTTTATCACTAAACACCTAGCGCCAGGCAGGGTTACAACAAGTACCATCTTTTAAACTATTTCTGTATGACGCGGCCGGGGATCGAACCCCGCTCTGGGCCAGACAAAGCACGACGACGGAACGTTCAGCGCCGTCCAGTACGAGTTATCCAAAGTGCGCATACATCCATTAACGCAAAAACATATTAAAGTCAATTCTTATAAAATAAGAAAGTCAATAATAATAACTTCACAGGCTGCTGAAGAGATCATTAATATGAAAAAGCAGTCGACAACAACGCGAAATCCGGGACATCGTTCAGAATGTCAACAATAATATCTTCACAGACTGCTTAATTAATCATTAGCGCAACTGTAGACAACTACACGAAATCAGTGTCATCGTTAATACGTCAACAACAATAACCACACCGACTGCCGATGTAATTATTAATAGAACACACACCTGTGGACAACACTAGACGAAATCACTGGCAAGGTTGAGCACCACAATAGAACACGTGTTCAGCCTTTCTATCACAACCAATGAAAACAGACGTTCGTTAGAGGGAGGGTCAGTGAATGCGTATGACAATTTTATGAATAACAACTTCTTTAATACTGTAAAAAGCGACGTTTCGGTATAGATCCTTATACCGTTGTCAAGCAAGACTGAATGAGGGACATAGTACAGATATATATAGTAGGTAGTAGTTACTATAACTTCTAAGTAATGCCTATCAAACAATTTATCCGTCGTCTACATGGAGACGTGGAGTATTAAAGAAGTTGTTATCCATAAATATGTGTCTACCTTGTAATCTGTCAACTTCTAAGTAATGCCTATCAAACAATTTGAATGAGTATGGTTTTACACAGCAATATCAGGGTATGAAACTCCCAAAAATTTCAGCCAGACCACAGGACTGGCTAGCTGAAATACTTGCCAGCCCTGACCAAAACCTGCCTGCCCACTATTATCATATGTTTCTCAGGATAATTTAATTAAAAATATGAAAACTGATTGCTTGTAGCATAAGCGCATCGCTAAATGTTAGGTTGTCTTAAAGCTAACGGTGTTTCTTTTGGTTACATTTCATCATTCATATTTACATGTGAATTAATGCTTATCATCGGGAAATATTTAGAATATTTTCACCTATGAAATATAACCCGACCGTCGGGCAGACGGATTTGAAAATCTGGCAGCCCGAGTTGAAATCAACCCGTCTCGGACGGTCGGGCAGGCAGGTATTTCGAACGCTGGCAATATTCCAGCAATATCACGGCGGAGGACACCAGAAATGGGCTTCACACACAGGCTACCCCACCGCCCTAATTTCCTCAGTTCGACACATTTTTGGGTATTCATTCGTCATAATAGTATAGCGTTGGGGGCCGTTTATTCAATACAATTACAATATTTGAATTATTTCTCTTTTTAATTGTGAATCCAAATGTATATTGATAAAGGTTGCCAATTTCCAAACAATCGTTTTAAAAAGTGAACATATATTCAGTATATACATAGTTCACTTTTTTAGAGAAATACGAAAACAACAAAATTGACTCATTGACAGCAGGCTATAGACAGGTATATATATATATCCACCAGTCAGCTGTCACCTACAGATCGATGCCCCATATCAGCCCGTGTCATACGTGTTGATGAAATATATTACCACCCAAATTATCTCTCTTGTACTGTATAATTAATTACGTCATACCGTTACTCGTACATCTGTCCTCGCTTTGTTTTTGACCCGACCAGTTGTTGGCCAACAGGCCTGATGTTTTTGAACCTTGAAATAAAATACTGTACTAAGGTGTAAACAGTTAATTGGTTTGTTGCTTCTTACTCCAATAATTTGCTCAATCTGTTTGATTCGAGTCTGGGTATTTTCACTATAACGTTTGGTCATGTTTGGCTGCCGCCATTTCGCGCCTTTAATAGATGTTTTACGGCATACAAATGTGTGTTTATTGTTAACTCAATTTGTTGTTATTGATCTATTAAACGATTGGTCCTTATATTTTGATACTACATTGCGTAAAGATAAATATGCTATTTTGTAAATTCTCAAATAAACCACAGACATTCTTTCTCTTGTGAAGTTATATATAGATCTAGCTGGAAATGCTTCTAATACGCAAGATAAAGGCTTCATCTAGACTGATTACTAATTGATTGCATAACATATATTTTCTATCTAAGGTTTCAGAATCCAATTCTTTCAGTATTCATGATACTTTACGTTAGAAGACATAATTTATCCTTTTTGTTATAAACATTTTATTGTCATTTTTTACTTTAAATTTGGAACAAAGACTGGAATCAGTCTAAAACGACGCCTTTTCACGCTTGCTTGTCGTATGATGTAAAGCCGACATGTATTTGAAACGGAGATTTCGATTGGTTGATGTTTCCCAGTTGACCAATCGTGTGCTAGATTACATGATCCTTGATAAACACATTATAATCAGCAGACAACATTATGGATACACGTGCTATCTGAAGGGTGCAAACAAAGTTCATACGATCGGGCTCCTTAAATATCAGTCAGTTTGAATCAACAAATTTTCTTTCGTGTTTAGGATCGACAAGGAAAACTTCTGTGTCAGTGGATGGTTGCTTTTGCTTCAGTGCGCTGTGAGAGGGTGATGCAAAAACACGACATTCGAGAATCATTCTTTCAATGTCAGTAAAACGATGATGACTTTGGTGGAATCACCGGAACATTCACCGGCAGACTGAGTCTGTATCTGTTTGTTATTGAGTGCAGGTGTCATGCCACAAGTGCAGGTGTCGGGAAATTAAGCTTACTGGGCCGATGTTGCGTGGAGAAAGCTGTCGAAATCGATGGAGAAAAGAGGTCTTGTTTTCACGAAATTCCACAGGGCCACAGATGCTTATTGATATGCCGAAAATTCTATAGGGTTAATGAACAACCAACCATTTCTCTGTATTTGTGATGAGAGGTATGTAAACACTGATCGTATTGTATGTACCCTGTAGTTCGTACATAGGCCTACTTGCTGACAGGCCTATGTAATTATTGATAACCGGGACACTTGCCAGTACATTGACATTTTTTAGTCGATCAATTACTTTGTCATGATCGGACAACATATATCATACTGAACATTTAAAATTATTAGTGTATAAGTACTATAACATGTATATAATCCGTATTTTGATGATTGAGTGCATTCACTGCTACAGTAATATCCGCATGAGTTGAATGTTGTGAGATGCAAAACCTGCTCTTTTCACAACAAATCTGTCTACTCAGTCAGTAAGCTCTTTCTTCCATCATTTGGAACAAATGTAACCATGGTAACATACCTGCTTTTATTACAAAGATTCATGTCAATTCTGTGAAAGTAATTTCAAGAATGTTTAGTCGATCATTGGCTATTCGCCATGATTCATTATGATTAATTGATGGTAATGTCAGTTAATCGGTTTAAAAGACTGCTTATACAAAGTGTTCCACATATCTTTACCTGAACACCTGCCTTTGGTTAATTAAATACCAGCACTGTTATTGACAAGTCAGTAAATGAGCAATCTGAGGAGTTACAATTGCTTGCTGGGTACCTGTTATCTGCTCTTCGTGCACGGTTATTACTTGGGGGGAAACTGACTACAGAACAGTGAGAGCTGCTTGATGCCGCAGTCGGCAATATTCTGGCCATATTCTCAACTAGGGTCATGTTATAACAAACGCCATTGGGGCCATACCTTATTTGTCAGCATCAAGCCTTAATCCAAAAAGCATTTGTAGCACCACAACATCCGTAAGTCAATGATAAATTATATCGTTAAGATAGGTCATAACACTACAGATCCTTATCTTCACGGGTCTTCACAGGGACATCCGTAAGCCAACGATAAATTTTATCGTTAAAAAAGGTCATAACACTACAAATCCTTATCTTCATGAGTCTTCACATCTTGCTTTGTGGATCGGGACCCTGTTTAGTGATAGCTCCTTTATCTTATTCTAAATACCCTGGACCCTATCGCTAGCCTCGTTTTAAAATCAGACTGGCACCAGATTATAAATAGCTGTCAAATCAAATGCCTCTCATGGGCAAGAGAAATTCTGTGCTAAGTTACAGATAGGAGATGATGTGGAGATGATGAATTAAGTCACTCCTGAAGCCAAGCTATGGGGATCCCTGGATAATTGAGGATGGAAAAGCATAGATACTAAAAACATATTCCAGTCTGTGAATTAAGCCACTAGTGTGAAGCCCGAGTCAAGTAACATTTCTTTCAGTATTGTAAGCTTGAAATAGATAAAGATAAGTGTGAAATGACACCAGTCACGCCACGGCATAAGGTTTCCCACTGATTGTTATTTATACCAGATAGTACACGTCCCGTGGGCATTCTGGGTTGAATAAAGCCCCTATTTACCTCTGCTTGAAAGAGGAGGTGACTTAATAGATTTGTTAGCGACTTGGTTGATTGCATGTCCTGGTAACCCTGTGATGTAAGATGTTGCTTATAATATCAATCACTGGATTGTCTGGTTCAGACTGAGATTATGGATAGGCTGCTGTCATATAGCTATAGGGGCGGTCGGGTAGCCCAGTGGTAAAAGCATTTGCTCGTCACACCAAAGGCCCGGGTTTGATTCCTGACATGGGTACAATGTGTGAAGCCCATTTCTGGTGTCCCCCGCCTTGGTATTGCTGGAATATTGCTAAAAGCGTCATGAAACCATACTCACTCACTCACTCATATAGCTAGAATATTGCTGAGTGCGGCGTTAAGCAACAAACAAACATACATAAACAAAACATAGTTTAAGATGATCGTTTTGGTAATTGTTTGCTGGATGTGTTCTGATGTATGCTATGTTTTGCAGAGGTTGAGGCTACAATGGGAAGTCGACACAATTCAGGCCCATTGAACGGCCCTGGCCAGGGGAGAAGGATGCCGAAGAGAAGACACCGTTTGAAAGGATCTTACTTTGAACAAGTGAGTCATTAAATAGAAATTATTGGCTGAGTTTGGTTTTGCCAAATGATTTGCAACCATGTTTGTTCACATAGGCGCTCACACTTCAGGAATGTTTTTGGGTTTGTTGGGCAATAGCTATTAGATTTACATGATCAAGTAGGCACTGCATGTTATTCATGCAGATGTATGTAGGGAATGGACTCGGAGTAGTTAATGCAGGGTTCATTTGCATATATATTGGATCACACTGGTTGTCACATCGATAACTCTATATGTTATGATAAATACCAATTATGTCAGTAAAATATACACACATAGATAAATTGCCCAACCCTAGAGGACTAGATAAGCTGCGCTTTTGCAGAGGAAACACACAATTATTCACCGTAAACCAATAAAGTTTGATTTGTTTATATTCAGATGTGCTTGAAATAATCCAAAGAAATGATTGTATAGTAACACTCTGCTTAATTACTCAATGAAGCTTGTGTACCTAAATGTCACTTGCATATTTTTATTTCCTGTTTGAAAGCAGGTGTCTCATATACACACATGTATACATGAACTCTACAGCAGTGAATAATGTGACAAAGTGTTATTATAACCTTGACATGTAATAGCTGTGAGCCTATGTGACATGTGACAACCTTGGGGCATCACATGGACAGATGCAAATTAGCATGATTAGAAGTCACATGAAACGTAATTTTATGCATAATAATGGTTAAAATGTCTACTCATTTGCTTGAAAATACATAATCATGATAATAGACTAGACCCAAAGGGTTAAAAATATACAATCTCATTAAAATCAGATCTAAGTTCTTGCTGCCGCTAAACAAAGATCTGAGGACATCCCATTACGGGTCACATCAGAACGACCTATTGCAAACTTTGACCGACCACTGAAACAAATAACAAGAAGTCGATAACAGCCAATGAGAAAGCAGCTTTCTCGAGCTTTACGGCACTCGTTTCAACCTGGCGACTTACGTTTCAGACTACGCTTGAAAAATATGTTGACACAGTTCTCGATTATAATTTTGAAAACTGAACAATAGAACAATCCGGAATGTCTAATATATGGTTACGATTGTATGGCAGTGCTTCCCATGTACTTTGCAACGCCTCCTCCGTTCAAATGTTTATCCTACAGAAGCGAGAGACACACGATAATTTTGATGGAATCAGTCGAATACCACGTTTTAAAGTTTTTGAGGTTGCAATGTTTAGAAAACACATTTCGACTGTCACTTTCATGATCTGGTAAGTGACGCTTTGATTGGTCGGATGAAAGGTCGTTCTGACATGACCTTTAATAGGATGTCCTCAGAACTTTGTTTAGTGATAGCGAGAACTAAGATCTGATTTTAATGAGATTGAAAAATATATTGAATACCCAAAGAAAACTAATGATACCTAAATATGCCTGAAGTGAATGATAAGCTGTGAGTAAATACTGCATCTAAAGTACCCTGACCTTGGGGAGGGTTTATGGAGTATTTGGAAATGTGTAGCTGTTTCCATTGTATGTGACACGCCATGTTGTATTTCAGTACAACACTAGCATCATAGCTGCCTTCAAGTCTGTGCCATCATTTCGCCCCGATCAGTTCAAGGTCCATCGACCAATGATGGGGCAGTGCTGCAGTTGTCTCCCTTCCAGCAGGGTCAGATTTACTTGACTATCTTTTCATTGCATCATTTGACAATTTATATATGATGAGGAAACCTGTCATAACAAAGGAATTTCCATTCAGTGAAGGATACTTTAAGAGCAAGTTCTTTTATATTTTCTCTAACATGTTTAATGGATCAAGGTCGGAAGACAATTGGCATTTCACAAATAGTAGACTGGTAGGGAAAAATCTTGTTTTTGCTTTTGGATCCAGTACATGGATGAAGAAAACTTTGAAACATGTTTAAAGCTATCACATTCCATATTAGGAATTATGAAATGCATGAGGAGCAACTCCAGTATTTCAGACACAGGTGAGCGTGAATGTAGAGCCTGGTTTGTTTTCCACTTACAGAGAGATCTGATTAGTGAGAGAATATGTGAAGAGGGAATCAGGAACATATTTGATGTGAGAACCGAGCTGGGGTAAGTGTTGTTGAATCACTATTGTCATGTATTCTCCAGTCAGTGGTAGAAACTAACAAATTTAGTCCACTAATCCTTATTATGATAACATATTGCAAAACCCTTAAACATGGCAAATTTCAACTAGCCCTTATGACACCTTAACTATTGGGCGCTTTGGCAAGGGCTACAGGACTAGTGCCAATAACGCTGACAGTGGAAGTATGCTGAATGAACTGGATGACTGAGTAGGATAAAAACATAGCATCTAGCATTGTTTAGTTGTGAACTGCTTACTATTATTATGAATCACAGTGTTCATTGTGACCCATCAGATGTGATTTCTCAGCATCATAGACATGACAGGGAAGAACAAATTTCCAGATCTCTGATATCTCTTAAATTTGTATTACGCTTTCCCAGACCGTTTTTTTTGTGCTTTCTGCCCAAAATGTATTGACACACACACTTGGAATATTGGAACACAGCTCTGCACTTTGTGACCTACAATTGTACTTTCTGCTTCCACAGTGATGTGGCCGCAAATTGTCACTTTCAATCAGAGGTTGTTATTGTGATTTGAAGCTCTGAGTGACCAATCATTGCCAGGCAGAATCAAGTATGGTCGAAAGTCATTGCAGAATCTTGATTTCTTAGCATGTTCTTGATGAATGAAATGGTTTTCAAATTAATTTTTTATGTACAAGACTTCAGGGATTTTTTTTATTACAATGAAGTTGTTGACCTTCAATAAAGATTCATACGTGTCTGTGTTCAGTTGGAAATGCCTGTTAGTATTACAGCCATTCAGATGTGCTTTCAACGTGATCCATAGGTGACACAAGTAACTTCTTCTGCAGGTCATGTGGATACTTTGCGAGAACTATGCCATCCATAGCCTATGCATTGAGACGAGTTGGACAGGGAAAGTTTCCTGATGTGTCCCTTGCTGTACTCAACAACAAGAGGTTAGTAACTTAGTGTTTTGTTTGTTTGTTGTTGAATGCCCCACTCAGTGATATTCCAGCTATGTGATGGTGGCCTGGAAATATCAAGTCTTGACCAGACAATCCAGTGATCGATATTGTGAGCAAGGATTTACGCTGTAAGGGTATGAGGACACGTTATTAACAGACACCAAGTCAGACTATCCGATCCATTTGGGTCACCTCTTACTACCAGTATGGGTTTGCTGTGGACCTATTCTAACCCGGAATCCCCACAGGGAGTGACCTTATAAGTTCAGCTTGTGAAAGCTCCACCACATGGAAAGAAATGCCTGTCACTTTGATAGGGATATTTAACATGGTAACATCCTTTTGAATTGATACCATGTTTGGATAATAAATGGCTGGTAGAATCTTCTTGAACTTATACAAGTATTCTAACCTTATCTAGTGTTTGAATTGTGTCTGAAAGCACTTGTTAGGGGTGTCATGATAAATTGAAATATCGATATATATTGCTGTTGGTAAGCACTTAAAGTCAATAAAGGGATTGTTAAATCAGTTTCCGATTAATAGTATCGATTTCAGTAGTAATACGATAGTTTCGATTGTATTTACCACACATGCAATTTAGTCACCGAAACACGCTAACGAACGAGCCGAGTGAGGATAAGAGTTAACTGCCCATGATGCTTAGCAACCGGTCTTTCTTAAAGTAAAATGGTGGAGGTGACAGTCAAGTGGAGTTTGTGACAAACATGGGTGGAAAATCGAGTGTTTGGAAGTCTTATGGTTATCACATTCATAGGAAACTTCAGTTCCAAGGTTTAATACAGCTCTAAAATCCATCTTAAATGATACAGTGAAAACTATTGATATTTATCACAATAGTTGCTTGCAATATGAATAGTTATCGCAATAGTTTCTTTCAGTATCAATAGTTATTGCAATAGTGATTTCCAGACCAATAGTCACCCCTAGTCCTTGTCATGACCTGAATGTTTAAACAGGGTAGACACCATTGGTCATATCCCACTAGTCTGCTGCTCTTCTCGGACTCGTGGCTTTGTAAATAAGTAGATTTGAGGATATACGAGTCCATCTAAAATGTTACTGTCTCAAACTAACTGACATGAGACCGTGTCTATCCCTGTTTAACATGTTTAAGTTAAGATTTCAAGGATCCCAGGATGCCTTTGACTTTCAAACACTGATATCATTGTTCACCCGATTTGAAATCTGCAAGGTGGCTTTTCTGTCACTTTGGAAAAATATTTCAAGGTGTAAAAATGAACAAATGCTAGGGAGACACAGTATGATTTAGATACAGGGTGTTCCCTGGGATTCCTAATAGGAATAGGTCCCCAGCAGCCTATGTTTGTTGATAGATAGACTCTTTTAGTCTCTGAAATCTTTTATTACACAATATCCTTCTTGACTCTAAAAATAAAAAAAAAATCCCTATGCTGATTTCAGGGACTTGCTTTTGTATGCATTTCTAGATTATTTTTTTTTCATAAAATAAATATATTCCACGGTCATGGTGCAGGACTAGTTGATAGATACAACTAAATGTGGTGTGGTCAGGGTTGCAGACTTGGTTGACTTTGTGTCATGGTACGCTGACAGCATGGAATGGTCTTACAGTGGTAACATCAATCTCGGGTTTGTCACGTTCAGACTGGATGATTTACACTGGCTGGAATATTGCTGAGTGTGACATACTGGATGCATGAACATTTTACAGTTTGAAACCACTTGCTCCACTGAAGTTTGTGTATTGAATATGACACCCCATCCTTGATAATCCCCACAAATCTGTAAAAAAATTGTTATTTTCTATTTGACGACCTGAAAAAAATGAGGTTTATCAGATTAATTCCTATGTACCTAAACAAATCCCAAACATTTCAGCCGTAAGTTGAAATCTTGTTGGCATTGCACAGAATGCTGTGCCAGATGAAAAAGTAACTTTCGAACAATAGCATGATCATGCGTTGGAATATCATTTCATTTGTTCATGTGTCGTGATGATCTGTTTAACATCCCACACAGACTGGGGGTAGGACTCCCGACTTGTTGATGTCATCTTATGACAATGATGTCAAAACATATATCCATTAACAATACTACAACAATAGTGCAGCAGCTGTGAAAGGTTAATTTGCTCAAATCGCATGTCATTTTGAAAGAACAAAATGCATTTTAACAATGAGCGATGTTACTGTGATTTTGCTAGAGACAAATCTAAATTTGTGATGGGACATATTCTTGTGTATTGTGCAGTTTAATGGAGATTCAGATGTGTCTATGTGACTTTAGTACCAAATACTATTCCATTAATAGTAGTGGCAGTTTTAATGTTTAATTGTGAAATAGTCATGGAACAACTGCTTTGTGTGGAAGTATACTCCCTGGCCAAGCCACACATTACTGACAACATTCTGGCTTAATTGCATTTACATGTGACATGAACCCATAAAATATTGAGTCTAAAGACTAGTGTGAACTGAGAGCATTGAAATCAATGGTGTTTGTGAGGGCAGCCTTCACAGCACCGCTGTGACCTGTGACAGATGTGTGGAAGTAGGTCAATAACGCCTGACTGCATAATCATCGTAATGGTATTGCGTCTTGTGAACACAGCCTTACTATTGCTGCTATGTGTCACAACTGAATTTGAATGAATTCTTTTTGAAGCTGGTTTTCGGTCTTGTAGTTGAGTTGGGTAGAGTAAGACAGCTGGGTATTGTACGTATTAGCCATAAGGCCTTGTGACAACTACCGTATTTACTCTATTAAGTACCCTGCTCCAACAAGTACCCACGGACTCACTTCTAGACCCATCTGTTTTAAATGCCTCCTACTAAGACCGAAAATTCACATGATAGACAGTATTTCCTGTGTATATTACAGATTTATATAAACAGCAGTGTTTCTGTGTAGAAAGGGGATATAATTGCCTAGTAACTATTATCAAAACAGTTTTAGTTTCCATGTTTTTCCATAATTTTAGTAAGTGTCCCCATTTGTCAAATTTCTGAGCATCCAGAGCGCCTTTTATGGCAAATATAATATCCCTTTAGATGTTTCTCTTGCAATTTTGATGCCAAAGCCTCTATACTATTGTTTTAATATACTTAGAATTGTCTCTAAAATGTCTTTTGAAGTTTTGTTTTTTATCATGTTCGTGGAAAGTTTAAATTGACCTTTATCATTTTGTAATATACCAAATATGTGAACATACCATTGTAGGCTATACTTAGTTTGTTTACAATGCTATCTAACACCTCCAACATCTACATCTAATAAGGTTCTAATTAAGACCTCAGCAGTTTGAATCTGGACCCAATTGGCAAAGAGATTTTAGCTGTACGATTGCCTTTTGGAACAGGGCCCTGGACATGTTCTTACAGTGAGCATAGTGTCACACTAATCTAGTCATGTAGTTTCTGGTTTTATCAAGGTATTCTGAGGCCTTCATTTGGCCCTAGGTCTAGTGTGAATGTCTAAAATTTTCAGGTTCAGTTTTTATTTGTAACTTGTTTGAATTATTGCATTACCAATGAGGAAGGTGGAGACAGGAAATAAGGACATGTTTTCCCCCAATTTGCCTGCCAAGTTCAAAGTTGAGGATAAATCCCTGAATTCTTGTTGTCATTATCATGAAATGGTTTGGTAAACATGCTGTAAGGTGTTAGTATATTCTTCTTTACTGACCCCATTCCATGTTAACATTGGTTGCGGAAGTACATGGTGTGCAATACATATCTTTCAATACAATGCAAACCGTTTGTGAAATAAGGCTGCTTGATTGCTTGATGGTGAACAGTTATCAATTCAGAATCAAAACAGTGAGGTTGAGAATGAAGTTACCCTAACTCACAGTTAAACTTTGTTTTTGATTCCTTGGCCTTTGATATACTGTAGGCACAATATTTTGATCAATACTTCAAGGTAGTGCTCATTGATCAGGCAGTGTATGCCGAATGGATTATGTAACTTTCTTCAGTTTTCTGCCCCCCAAATGGCATGTCTGTGTTTTGGTAGGGATTTCTTGAATGCTTGACTTGAGGGTAGCCATTGTAATGCTCTGTTCATGAATGCCAAGGGTGTGTAAACGCCAGTGTGGGCTGGAATCAAATAAAGTGTGCCACTGGATGCCACAGGATGCCACTGGATGCTGCCATAGCACCGTATTGTTGATGTCTTAGACCCCCTTAGGCTCACAGTTTTTCATAACTGCACAACCATGACATTTGACTACTGAGTGACTAAATATTATTGGTGTAATGATACGGCAATACAGTATTGTCTCCCGTTATGAGAACAATGATACAGTACATCGATTTGCAGCCCCTATATCTCAATACATATACGTTACATTACAAGTTATATTGGTGTAAATTATTATTATTATTATTATGATAACGGGAATGGTGCTGACAAACCTAGAAACATAATCGGGGCGAACCAGGATTCGAACCCACAATCATTGGTTTCTGGCATGCCCAAGGGACGCAACTCTGCACAGAGAATCGCGGGCCTTAGACGACTGGGCCACCCGTGCCCCCTGTAATTTGAGAACAAATGATTGAGGGTTGCAAGGGCGGATCCAGCTTTTTTCAGAGTGATGGGTCCCAAATATCAAAATCCTCTCACAGATAATTTTACTGCCCACAACACACTACATTTGGTTTTCCAAAGGGAGGTCTGGTCCCCGTGGACCATTCCCCCAGACGCTATCGTAGCGCTATGGTGATCATGCTTTAACTCCTATTTTTTAAAGTACACATACAACTGTCATTCGCAACATATGCTTTGTGGAACTGGGCCGTGAGCTCTGGATAAGCTAACCAAATTAATAGAAAATTAATATGCAGAACAAATCACCCTAACTCAATTACTTTGAGTTGGTTGCATAAAAATATGCTTGGTAATAATTGATGTCAATATATTTTTGCGTTTATGGATGTATAAGCATAACACATGGTGTGCGTACTATGTATACATGATATTGTGTAAAGTTGTATGAGGAGGTTTCTACTTCCTGGTATGTTCTGATCTTTACTTCCAGAGTGGTGGAAGCTGTGCAGCTCACCCTTCAAGAGGCACAGGCGGAACATGCAGGTACGTCTCGCGGGCTTGGCCTGGTGTAGATCTGAGCTAGAGCATTGGTAGGGAGTGGACCAGGTACGTGTCTCTGGCTTGGCCTGGTGTAGATCTGAGCTAGAGCATTGGTAGGGAGTGGACCAGGTACGTCTCTCTGGCTTGGCCTGGTGTAGATCTGAGCTAGAGCATTGGTAGGGAGTGGACCAGGTACGTCTCTCTGGCTTGGCCTGGTGTAGATCTGAGCTAGAGCATTGGTAGGGAGTGGACCAGGTACGTCTCTCTGACTTGGCCTGGTGTAGATCTTAGCTAGAGCATTGGTAGGGAGTGGACCAGGGACGTCTCTCTGGCTTGGCCTGGTGTAGACCTGAGCTAGAGCATTGGTAGGGAGTGGACCAGGTACGTCTCTCTGGCTTGGCCTGGTGTAGACCTGAGCTAGAGCAGTGGTAGGGAGTGGACCAGGTACGTCTCTCTGGCTTGGCCTGGTGTAGACCTGAGCTAGAGCACTGGTAGGGAGTGGAACAGGTACGTCTCTCGGGCTTGGCCTGGTGTAGATCTTAGCTAGAGCATTGGTAGGGAGTGGAACAGGTACGTGTCTCTGGCTTGGCCTGGTGTAGATCTTAGCTAGAGCATTGGTAGGGAGTGGACCAGGTACGTCTCTCTGGCTTGGCCTGGTGTAGACCTGAGCTAGAGCATTGGTAGGGAGTGGACCAGGTACGTCTCTCTGGCTTGGCCTGGTGTAGACCTGAGCTAGAGCACTGGTAGGGAGTGGACCAGGTACGTCTCTCTGGCTTGGCCTGGTGTAGACCTGAGCTAGAGCACTGGTAGGGAGCGGAACAGGTATGTCTCTCTGGCTTGGCCTGGTGTAGATCTTAGCTAGAGCATTGGTAGGGAGTGGAACAGGTACGTGTCTCTGGCTTGGCCTGGTGTAGATCTGAGCTAGAGTATTGGTAGGGAGTGGAACAGGTACGTCTCTCTGGCTTCGCCTGGTGTAGATCTAAGGTAGAGCATTGGTAGGGAGTGGAACAGGTATGTGTCTCTGGCTTGGCCTGGTGTAGATCTGAGCTAGAGCATTGGTAGGGAGTGGACCAGGTACGTGTCTCTGGCTTGGCCTGGTGTAGATCTGAGCTAGAGCATTGGTAGGGAGTGGACCAGGTACGTGTCTCTGGCTTGGCCTGGTGTAGATCTGAGCTAGAGAATTGGTAGGGAGTGGAACAGGTACGTCTCTCTGGCTTGGCCTGGTGTAGATCTGAGCTAGAGCATTGGTAGGGAGTGGACCAGGTACGTCTCTCTGGCTTGGCCTGGTGTAGATCTGAGCTAGAGCATTGGTAGGGAGTGGAACAGGTACGTGTCTCTGGCTTGGCCTGGTGTAGATCTTAGCTAGAGCATTGGTAGGGAGTGGACCAGGTACGTGTCTCTGGCTTGGCCTGGTGTAGACCTGAGCTAGAGCATTGGTAGGGAGTGGAACAGGTACGTGTCTCTGGCTTGGCCTGGTGTAGATCTTAGCTAGAGCATTGGTAGGGTGTGGAACAGGTACGTGTCTCTGGCTTGGCCTGGTGTAGACCTGAGCTAGAGCATTGGTAGGGAGTGGAACAGGTACGTGTCTCTGGCTTGGCCTGGTGTAGACCTGAGCTAGAGCATTGGTAGGGAGTGGACCAGGTACGTCTCTCTGGCTTGGCCTGGTGTAGATCTGAGCTAGAGCATTGGTAGGGAGTGGACCAGGTACGTCTCTCTGGCTTGGCCTGGTGTAGATCTGAGCTAGAGCATTGGTAGGGAGTGGACCAGGTACGTCTCTCTGGCTTGGCCTGGTGTAGACCTGAGCTAGAGCATTGGTAGGGAGTGGACCAGGTACGTCTCTCTGGCTTGGCCTGGTGTAGACCCGAGCTAGAGCATTGGTAGGGAGTGGAACAGGTACGTCTCTCTGGCTTGGCCTGGTGTAGATCTTAGCTAGAGCATTGGTAGGGAGTGGAACAGGTACGTGTCTCTGGCTTGGCCTGGTGTAGATCTGAGCTAGAGCATTGGTAGGGAGTGGAACAGGTACGTCTCTCTGGCTTGGCCTGGTGTAGATCTTAGCTAGAGCATTGGTAGGGAGTGGAACAGGTACATGTCTCTGGCTTGGCCTGGTGTAGATCTGGGCTAGAGCATTGGTAGGGAGTGGACCAGGTACGTCTCTCTGGCTTGGCCTGGTGTAGACCTGAGCTAGAGCATTGGTAGGGAGTGGAACAGGTATGTCTCTCTGGCTTGGCCTGGTGTAGACCTGAGCTAGAGCATTGGTAGGGAGTGGACCAGGTACGTCTCTCTGGCTTGGCCTGGTGTAGACCTGAGCTAGAGCATTGGTAGGGAGTGGACCAGGTACGTGTCTCTGGCTTGGCCTGGTGTAGATCTTAGCTAGAGCATTGGTAGGGAGTGGAACAGGTACGTGTCTCTGGCTTGGCCTGGTGTAGATCTGAGCTAGAGCATTGGTAGGGAGTGGACCAGGTACGTCTCTCTGGCTTGGCCTGGTGTAGACCTGAGCTAGAGCATTGGTAGGGAGTGGACCAGGTACGTCTCCCTCGGGCTTGGCCTGGTGTAGACCTGAGCTAGAGCATTGGTAGGGAGTGGACCAGGTATGTCTCTCTGGCTTGGCCTGGTGTAGACCTGAGCTAGAGCATTGGTAGGGAGTGGAACAGGTACGTCTCTCTGGCTTGGCCTGGTGTAGACCTGAGCTAGAGCATTGGTAGGGAGTGGAACAGGTACGTCTCTCGGGCTTGGCCTGGTGTAGATCTGAGCTAGAGCATTGGTAGGGAGTGGACCAGGTACGTCTCTCTGGCTTGGCCTGGTGTAGACCTGAGCTAGAGTATTGGTAGGGAGTGGACCATCTGAACCAGCAACTTTTGCAAGTAGCATGATACTTTAGAATCTTTGCTACATATGACAAAATATAGATCGAAAATATGTTCATGTTTACCACAGGTAAGGAAAATGTTATGGGACACTTCTGATATCCAGTAAAAACAAGATTTTCACATTTGTTTCCTGAGAGTTAAAACATTTCATTCTGTGATTGTAAGGACACTGTAAGGACATTTTCAGATTTAACATTTGTCGATGTAGCAAGTATTGGCGGGGTTGACAAGTTTTAAGTTGAACTGTTCAGAGATGATGATCTCACCTGCTGCTGTCTCCCGACTAGATTCCCCCAGCAGCAAGAAGCGGCCTCCCCCCTCCCTGTCCCACTACCAGCAGTCCGCCAAGAGGATCCTCAGCAAGATGAAGGCTTCCATATCTGGCCACTTGGTCAGGTAGTGTAACACTTTCAGCACTGTTTAGTCCTTGGTAGATTTGCCTGTGAAGACAAATTGGCTTTTTTGCAGTTTTGAAGTATTACATTTTTAGGAATTAAATGAATTTCATCAGAATAATAAGAAAAACAATCATAAGCAGTTTTGCTAGGTACCCTTTTATAAAGATGAATAATGCAATGTTAAATTGTTCCCGCTTACAATCAGCAGGGTGCTTCAGCCTTTCGTGGAAATTCATCCACAGAGATGTGCTTGGTGGCTATTGTTTCTGTCTCCCTTTCAGGCTGACTGGGTGGTTCCTGTTGAAGTTTCTCAGCCAGTTCCTGAGGACGATCCAGGTCCACAAGGGGCAGCTGGAGATGGTCCACAAGGTGGCACAGGTCAGTCTCAGTCTTACGGTGTTCACTTCACTGCCCGGAGGGGCGGTGGGGTAGCCTAGTGGTAAAAGTGTTCGCTCGTCACGGTTCGATTCCCCACATGGGTACATGTGAAGCCTGTTTCTGGTGTACCCCGCCGTGACATTGCTGGAATATTGCTAAAAGTGGCGTAAAACCAAACACACTCTCTCTGCCGGGGCAGCATGGCGCAGCAACAGATGGATTCACATTGCTTGCTACAGCTGCTACCTCTATTGCCCAAGACGCCCGCACCTCTGCCTCCGCCTCCGCCTCGTCAAGTCGACTATACAGACGCCGTCTACCTCTTGTTACTCCATGGACTTGGCTTCCCCAAGTACGTTTTCACGTCAGAGTGACAGTCGATCTTATTGTCAAGATCATTGATCTGGGAGCCGCTCACCGGTTTGCAGACACTCCAGTGGCTATCGGTCCTACTCCATTGTTATGACGACACCCCCACAGACGTCGAGTCCCACCTGGGTTTAGACCAGGTTGCAGAATGGCTGGCAGAGGTCGATAGCAAGACAGCCATCCGTGTGGACCCTACCTTGATCCCTCCTGACCCACTGATCAGAGACATGATCTCAGCCTTGGACGAGGACTTCAGTAAACTGTCACTGACTCCGTCCTTCAGGGCCCCATGCTATAGACGAGACGACTACCCAGTCCACTTTCTTCAAGTCGCGGACCACGCTCATACCCTAGATGAGGACCTGCACCGCATGGCGGGGTTAAACCGCTCCACCTCAGTTCGAGTTTCTGACAGTAAACTTGCCTATGTGGAAACTGAGATTCTCCACACGCTCAAACACCTGTCACTGATGGCGTCGTTCTTAGAGCCATACTGCAGGACTTATCGGAGGACAACCCCAATAGGATTGACCACCTAACAACAGTCGTATCCTACCTCCAACAACAAGTTTGAGCTCACAACCACTAGATGCCTAGGGTACCTTGCCTTGTCGGACTGGGACCCAGAGTTCAAGATAAACCTCCTGCGTCAACCTTGGTCCGCCTCTGACCTCTTTAACTGACAGATATCCAAGACACACTCCCGGTTTCGGCTTTCCCCGAGATGAGACGGCTCTCAAGGCCCTGGCCAGGGTATTACAGCCAGCCTTTGCTTGGGTGGACCAGTTTGGCTCATACCAGCCACAACGCAACACCCTCCAGACTCGGGGATGGGGCTCTACCTCAACTTCTTGGGGGAGAGGAAAAGGAAAGTCCTCTGGCAAATACCAGTCACGCCAAGGGAGGTTAACGCCGACCACAGGGACTTAAAGTGAATCGCCAGACAGGCACGACTGGGACCTCCCACCCCCAGCTGTCCAAGTTGTCGACACTCCAGTAGGTGGGAGACTGGGTCGATTCTCTCAGAATTGGGAGATCGTTGGGGACCCATATGTCCATAACATCATCCGACACAGGTACAAGCTGATGCTTATAGACGACTCACCGCTCACGTCGTACCCCATAGCGGACACCTACCCCCTACTCAACCGCAGCTACTGAGCCGGAACATCACGGCGCTCCTAGACAAGAAAGCCATTGAGGTTATACACGTCCAAGCCATAACACCTGGCTTCCATTCACTTGTCTTCCTAGTCCCCAAGAAAAACTCGGACAAACACAGGATGATTCACAACCTCACCGCTTTCAACAAACGCTACCTGGCGCGCCACCTTATTTCAGGATGACAACGCTCAGGCTACTGCGATCCCGGATCCAGGCGCAGGATTTGCTCATCAACCTGGATATCGAGGACGCCTACCTACATTTCCCTATATATCCTGAAGACCGGATTTTCTCCTCTTCATCGCATCATGGGAGTCCATTATCAATGGGCGGTCATCCCATGCGGAATTTCTTCGTTCCAGTGGCTATTCACACGACTTACCAAGCTGATAGCCTCGTACCGGGACATTCAGTTCGAGGCGTACATAGACGACCGTCTTCGCCACTCACTACCTGCGAGACGTCGTATTGGAGGATGTGCAAGGCACACACAGTTTTGGTCCATTTGTAGTGGCCCAACAGGTCACCACTACTACACGTCATTGACCTCGCCTCCAAGTCCAGAGCCGGCCTTTCGACCTCACCTGGCGTATGCCCTGGATTAGAAGGTTCATGCCCCATTTGCATACTGCTCGGTACTCCAGTCTTGACCTCAACTGAGGGTTATTGTCGGGCTGCGTAGTACCAGGACACAACGCATACCTGACTCTTCCCTTCCGTGTAATGTTCATCCAGGCCGACCATACAGCCCAAGACGGGCTGAGGAAAACTGAGTTTTCCCATACATGGAGTGGTCACCTGAAGCCGACCACACACAGCCAAGGATTGGCTTGGGAACAGGAGGAGTAATGCAGGATAAGTAAAAAATCTAGTAAAATCATAGATATTTTTTATATTTGTATACTTATGCTGCATTACTTAGTCTAAAGGGACCCACCCATCGCAGAGCTATCTCCCCACGATGCCTTCCGATGTTTCGGAGTAATGTGAAGATCCGTGACGTCACTTCCTTTGGTCACATGGGAGCTGCGTGATGGGCGGGCCTCTCAGCTAGTTTGAACAACTTCTTCAAGCAAAGACCTTCACACAGTTCTTTTCTCTGTCAAGAACAAGCAGTAATATGCATTAAGGAGTAATGCAGGATAAGTATACAAAAATAAAAAATATCTAGGATTTTACTAGGATTAATATATTTTGACTGTTTTATGAAGGTTTTCACATCACATGAAAGCACAGTCTTTTACACAGCATTTGTTGAATCTTGTGTCTGTTTTCCCCAACAGCGTGGTGTGCCTGTGATCTATGTGCCTCTCCACCGCAGTCACCTCGACTACATCCTTGTCACCTTCATCCTCTGGAACTACAGCATCAGAGCACCCTACGTGGCTGCGGGGAACAATCTCGATATCCCATTCTTCAAGTAGGTAGCAGTGGGAAACAACCTCTATATCCAATTCTTCAAGTAGGTAGCAGTGATGAAGAACCTCGATGTCCCGTTCTTCAAGTAGGTAGCATTGGGGAACAACCTCGATATCCCGTTCTTCAAGTAGGTAGCAGTGATGGACAACCTCGATATCCCGTTCTTCAAGTAGGTAGCAGTGATGAACAACCTCTATATCCCATTCTTCAAGTAGGTAGCAGTGATGAACAACCTCGATATCCCGTTCTTCAAGTAGATAGCAGTGATGAACAACCTCGATATCCCGTTCTTCAAGTAGGTAGCAGTGGGGAACAACCTCGATATCCTGTTCTTCAAGTAGGTAGCAGTTGGGAACACCCTCGATATCCCGTTCTTCAAGTAGGTAGCAGTGGGGAACAACCTCGATATCCCGTTCTTCAAGTAGATAGCAGTGATGAACAACCTCTATATCCCATTCTTCAAGTAGGTAGCAGTGATGAACAACCTCGATAACCGGTTCTTCAAGTAGATAGCAGTGGGGAACAACCTCAATATCCCGTTCTTCAAGTAGATAGCAGTGGGGAACAACCTCGATATCCCGTTCTTCAAGTAGGTTGTTGCAGTGGGGAACAACCTCGATATCCCGTTCTTCAAGTAGGTAGCAGTGATGAACAACCTCGATATCCCGTTCTTCAAGTAGGTAGCAGTGGGGAACAATCTCGATATCCCGTTCTTCAAGTAGGTAGCAGTGATGAACAACCTCGATATCCCTTTCTTCAAGTAGATAGCAGTGATGAACAACCTCTATATCCCATTCTTCAAGTAGATAGCAGTGATGAACAACCTCGATATCCCGTTCTTCAAGTAGGTAGCAGTGGGGAACAATCTCGATATCCCGTTCTTCAAGTAGATAGCAGTGATGAACAATCTCGATATCCCTTTCCTTAAGTAGATAGCAGTGATGAACAATCTCGATATCCCTTTCCTTAAGTAGATAGCAGTGATGAACAATCTCGATATCCCGTTCTTCAAGTAGGTAGCAGTGGGGAACAATCTCGATATCCCGTTCTTCAAGTAGATAGCAGCGGGGAACAACCTCGATATCCCTTTCTTCAAGTAGGTAGCAGTGATGAACAATCTCGATATCCCTTTCTTCAAGTAGGTAGCAGTGATGAACAACCTCGATATCCCGTTCTTCAAGTAGATAGCAGTGGGGAACAACCTCGATATCCCTTTCCTTAAGTAGGTAGCAGTGATGAACAACCTTGATAACTTCAATGTTGTAAATTCTGTATGAATGTAGTCTGTTAGAATTGTAGCAGGGAGAACATGCCTGATAATCAGTATTTCGGTTGTTTCTTTGCAGCATGTTGATGCGAGGTTTAGGAGGGTTTTACATTCGTCGGAAGCTGGACAAGGGAGGGAAGAAGGACCATATATACAGAGCCGTGCTTCATACTGTGAGTATATACTGATCCCTGGTCCATTCTGTGTGTATATATACAGAGCTGTGCGTCATACTGTGAGTATATACTGATCCCTGGTCCATTCTGTGTGTATATATACGGAGCTGTGCTTCATACTGTGAGTATATACTGATCCCTGGTCCATTCTGTGGATATATATACAGAGCCGTGCTTCATACTGTGAGTATATACTGATCCCTGGTCCATTCTGTGGATATATATACAGAGCCGTGCTTCATACTGTGAGTATATACTGATCCCTGGTCCATTCTGTGTGTATATATACAGAGCCGTGCTTTATACTGTGAGTATATACTGATCCCTGGTCCATCCTGTGTGTATATATACGGAGCTGTGCTTCATACTGTGAGTATATACTGATCCCTGGTCCATTCTGTGTATATATACAGAGTATATGCATATCAGTGCTTCTTACTGCAAGTATGTTTAGATCAGTGCTTCATACTGAAAATATATCAGAGAAGTGCTCTATACTGCAAGTAGATTTAGATCCATGCATTCAGGGGTGGAAATTTGCCATTTCCCGACTCCCGGGGCAAGTAGAAATACAAGGTCGGGCAACAAAATCCCTTACTTTAACTTGTCCGGAGGCAAGTAATATTGGAAATTACTATCACTGTCTACATGTCTAACTACTCGTAAAATGGTACAATAAATTAGCTGAGAGAAATTTCGTAATCGCGCTTTCGCGAAACACTGACACTATTAAAGAACACAGGAGACTTAGAGTTACGTCCTTTTTCTATTTTCGTTTTAATATTCAATCGGAACAGTATGAAACAACTTTCTACACTCGGTTTGAATGCTTTTCTCTCATTGCGGCCTAGAGGGATCTGATAATTGATAGACGATCAATACTGCCTAGAGGGGTCTCGTAATTGAAACACGTCGTGGCCTGTGACTTTCTCCAATGTAAACAGTTACGACCTGGTTATGGCGACACACAAGTAGGCGTCGATTAAAAGTTTTTTCGGTTGGGAAAGTGAAAATAAATCTGAAAATGACGATGATAGCGAATCATGTAAAAGAAAACGACCAAATGAGGACACATGTTTTTAAGAACAAGAACAGGAAGAAAATTCATTCAGAGTTGGTGTGATGCGTTTCCATGGGTAGTGTATGACGAAAAAAAAAAATGTCATCAAGTGCAGAATTTGTTGTCAGTATCCAACTGTAACATCCAGAAATAAGAACATGTTTTTGTTGACGGTTGTACACAATTTCGAAAAAACATTATTTGACAAGTCATGAGGTTTCCGATGTTCATTTAGAATTTACCCGAGTCCTTATGTAGATATAACAGTGCTGGTGTAGTGTAATTTTGTTCAACGGTAAATAAACACATATTGATGATTTGAAATTTTATTTTGAAATTATTTGGGCAAGTGAAAATGAAATCAGGGCAAGTGAAAATTGTCTTTAAACTTGTCCGATGGCAAGTGAAGTTTTTTTTTAAATTTCCACCCCTGGCATTATGCTGGGAGTATATTTAGATCAGTGCCTCTCTGTGAGTATATGCAATTCCGTGCTTCTTACTGCAAGTAGATTTAGATTAGTGCCTCTCTGTGAGTATATGCAGATCTGTGCTTAGTTATTGTGAGTAAAGCCTCCTATACGCTCCTCTGTACACCTTAAGGTCCTGCGTGTCCACTGACCTCTCATGCTCAATTGAAGTGGTATCTTTTGTAGTTGTATTATCATGTACTCATTACCTATCTGGCAGATCATGAAGTGAGTTATCTGCTTTGTCTTTGCCAGTATATGCAAGAGCTACTGAAGAAAGGTGAAGCCTTTGAGTTCTTCATCGAGGGAGGACGAACACGCTCAGGGAAAGCTTTGACACCTAAAGGAGGCTTGCTATCGATTGTAGTTGACTCATGTATAGAAGGTACAACTGCTGTGAATGCATTGTTTGATAGGCATCACTTAGAAGTTGACGGATGACAAGGTAGACACAATTTTATGGATAACAACTTCTTTAATACTGTAAAAAGCTACGTTTCCGTATAGATCCTAACAACATCAACTGGGACAACATCCAAATCCTCTCCAACAACCTCCATGATTTCACTAACATTCGCCGCCACAAGCCATCAATCAACAGAGAACAAGGCTATTTCATCCCATCCGCCTACTATGAACTCATCAAGCAATAATCACTTATCCTGTTTGATTGGCTTCTTGTCCCATTGACTTCCACCTATGTGTTCTCTGTCCATCGTGTGGTGACAGTATTATCCTTCTGTTGCCATTACTTACTCATGTTATCCCACTCATGTATGCATTGTTGTTACTGTTAATCCTCTAGTGTTTATCCTCCACCGACGATATATATTCTGTACAACGTCCCTCATTCAGTCTTGCTTGACAACGGTATACGGATCAATACAGAAACGTCGCTTTTTACAGTATTAAAGAAGTTGTTGTCCATAAAATTGTGTCTACCTTGTTGTGAATGCCTTAATAATGCAGACCTGTTTTTGAAATATTGTTTTCTTCTTCTCCAGTAGGATATTGTAATGTCAGTAGTCAATATGAAAATAAAATAAAAAGAAACTTTTTATGAAAAGTACATTAAAAAAACCCAAAACAATAAAAGAATTTTTGGAAAGACTTCGCTTCCAATGTTGACCTATGATGGTGTATTGTTATTGAAATTAATTCAATCAGCAAGAAGACAAATTTTATGATTGGTTTTCAAATTTGAGAAATGTGCATGAAAAATGAGTGATGTTTAAGAATGGATTTCATGGAAATGAATATGAAAAGAAAATATTATGTGACTGAAAGAAATAATTGCTCTTTTCCAGGTCTGATCCCCGATGCATATGTAGTGCCAATCAGTATAAGCTATGAGAGGTTGTTAGATGGCAACTTCCACAGAGAACAGATGGTGAGTTGACATCACAGGGATTTGTCAGACTACATGATTACAGCCTCAAAAAGATTCCATATCATTTTGAAATAATGAAACATATAATTGTGTATAAATTCTTCTGTACGATTGAAAGGAAATCAACACAGTGTTTGAAATATACACCTGACCGTAGCCCCGTGGCAGGTAGATCTCATGTCGGCCCCGTAGTTTCAAACTTGTATGGGCCTTTATAGCCTGCCGTAAATTTAAGTGTCTATTTATATGTCACAGTAAGCTCCAGTTCTGTATATGAGGGCCTGAAGAGTTTACTCAAGGTCTGCAGCTCCAGAAGTCGCCGGGCCCTGATGGCAGCCTGGCAGTGTTTTATATCGACCACCTTATCAACATGAAGATATGAACACCATAAAAGAATCAGCTTTTCATGTTTGAAAAAATTCATTTTTTGTTTCGTAGGGTCTTCCTAAAGTGAGTGAGTCCTTCCTTGGAGCCTGGAAGGGCATCTGGCGTGTTCTGTGTCAGAACTTTGGAAGTGTCAGAATTGATTTTGCTCAGCCCTTTTCAGTGAAGGTGAGTATTACTAAATGAGAAACTGTAAGGTGAAGCAGGGTTTGGTTCGAAAGGACAGTTCTAGTCACATGGCTTTCAGAATGGATCCTTCAATTTGAATTAACATAACACTCATTAATTAGACAATCAAAAGCACTCACCCTAATTTCTTAAATGACACTATATCTGTGAAGATCTGGGGTAGAATAGGTCTTCAGCAACCCATGCTTGCTGTAAAAGGTGACTATGCTGGTCGTAAGATGCGACTAATAGGATCGGCTGGTCAAGCTCGCTGACTTGGTTGATGCATGTTATTGTTTGTTTGTTTGTTTGTTTGTTTGTTTGTTTCTTGTTTAATGCCGCACTTAGCAATATTCCAGCTATATGACGGCGGTCTGTAAATAATCGAGTCTGGACCAGACAATCCAGTGATAGATATTGTATCCCAATTGCCTGGATCAGTGCTCATGATGTCAATCACTGGATTGTCTGGTCCAGACTTGATTATTTACAGACCGCTATCATAAAGCTGGAATATTGCTGAGTGCAGCGTTAAACAACAAACAAACAAAGTTAGATGACACTAACTTGGAATGACATTTATATCAGTGAAATATTGTATAAGTTCCCAGTTAATTTGTTGATCAAAGTAATTAAGGTTTTGAGAATTGTTGTTCTTATTAGCGTAAGTGATGCATTTGTTATCATTATAAAACTTTCAAAGTTTATTATTAAAATGTGTTTTAGTAGAAATTAAGAATAATTTGAAATCCGATGAACAGAATCACACTGTTATTGAGAAATTTGGATAATTGCTATGGGATATGTGTAAATTTTCAAATGTTTCTTTGAGAACTATGTAGTCTGTCAGATATTCCCAGTTTTCTCCCATGTTCACCATGTTTGTTTCAGGAGTACATCCAGTGTAACCCTTCTCAGCTGAACCGGCCGCTGTCTCCGATGGCGTCGTCGTCCGGCGAGAACTCCCCCGAGTCCTCCTGCCCCAGCCTCAACGGCATGACCTCCAGCTCCTCTCGAGCAAGTCTGCAGTTTGACGGCCTGGACAACAGCCGGTGCCTCGTGAAGGGCATGGGACTCCATATAGTACACAGTGAGTTGACCTCATGGACCACCGTCAGGGCCCAGGACAGAACAGGCCTCCTTAGCCTGGTCACAACAGACGTTCAAATGCTAGGATTATACTAAAGCTTAAAAAAAATAAAAGAATTGGTTCTCAGGCAATGGCTTTTGAAAATATATTGTGTGCAGGCATTTTTTATTTTTTTTGTTCAAACTAGTATGTAACCAAATAAGCTGTTGTGTACAATCAACCTGGGAAAGGGCCTCCCCACATAAAAGTATTCCTTGATGAGGAAAATACGGGAATGCAGTATTTGACTACCATTGGATTCTTTTTGTTTTTCTAAAAATGGAATTAAAAATGGAATGTGCGACAAACTTTATGATGATGCGGGCAGAGCCTGAGAACCAAGACTATTATTATTTTTAGCCTAGCTTCCAAACTCTCATCATGCTAACGTGGTAGCGCTGAGGTTACTTTGAAGAACTGGGCTGAGAACCCTGTCATGATTCAGCTGATGATGAATGGCATCCGTGGCTCAGTCTTGATTGGACACAGGCCGAGGTGATATAACTGGGCTATTGCTGGCTGCAGTATAACTACAAGTATTCTCTTCCTGACTCATTGTTCACTGTTGACCTGGTGGTGCTAGCTTACGCAGTGCAGCTTTCTGATCAGTTTATTATACCTTCCTATTTCAGATCTTATTGACATGCTGGCAGGATATAAATACAGTAAACTACGGTTATAAAGAACTCAAAGGGACCACTAATTTTAGTTCGTAATAACCAAAGTTTGTTATAAGCATATATACAACACATGACTAGGACTAAAAAATAAGTTTGTTATATCGGTCATGTTCGTTATAAACATAGTTTATTGTAGGTTCTTTTTGTAAGGTTAGAAATGATGTTTTAGATATTAATAAGTCTGCTTTATTAAAATTATGTTCAGTGATTCATATTTGATAAACAACAAACAAGTCTTATTTCCATGTTGTATAGAATGGCATGCTGGATATGCATTTTGAGTAGAAATCTTGTAGTCTAGAATTTATTTTTTTTGACTTTCTGGGATGATGGTGAATGGTAATTCATTAAGGTCACTTATACTGAAGGATTCTGTGAACTGTCATGTGAATGCACCAATCAGCATGAAGAATATGCACATACGTACATGTGTGCTGTATGATGATAGTGTTTGTAATTATTATACCCTGGTTTCTTCTTGCAGCTGCTGTTCACTCGACAGCTCTCACCTGTACCAATATGGTGGCATTCCTCTTCCTCATCAAGTTTCGACAGGTAGGTGTATTGTGACACTGACACTGGTGGTTTGGTAAGTGCTGTAAGAGATCTTAGTGTTACAAGTTGGCTCCTGTGCTCTCATGTACATCACTACTTATAATGGTTGTTGCATTTAAGATATTATAGGGCCAAGGTTTTTTCAGGTTGTCAGTTTGTTAAATATCCCGGCTGACTTTAGTGTGTTTGTGTTGCAGGGTGTGACGATGCCCCGGCTGGTACACAGCTTCAACTGGCTCAAGCAGGAGCTGAAGATGCGTAACCGAGATGTAGCTTTCTGCGGAGAGTCTGACGTGGTTGTAGAGTACGCCGAGGCACTGCTTGGTACTGACCTCATCACCAGGAAGTAAGGGATACTGTCGGTTTGCAAAACATTTAGAGACTGTGCAGAGAGCACCGAGGTGCAAAGAACTACTGACTACCTGTCCTGAGAGCAGGAATGGTGGAAGTCCCGAGCCTTAGTGAGACTTGCAGCATCAGTCACAAGGCTCATATAATCTGTAATTCAGAGTTTCGAGTTGGTCGTTCTATATGGCACTCATTGTCATTTTACAAAAACAAATGTAAGAAAAGTATATGAAATGTAAGAAAAGTATATGAAATGTAGCCCAACAGAATCTTCACTGAAATCAGCAAAATGTTAATTTTACGTGGTGTTGTTGGTTTGTGAATTATTCCCCGGCATTATCACATACAGCCTGTGCCATAAAACTTTGAGTCTACTACCTCGAAAATGTAGTTTGTCATTAATTATCAGGATGTGTTCTTACTGGACCAGAAGAAATTTTACTTGACTAGGGAGTAGGGACCAGTCATTTTACTGTCAACTAAGTGCCATATTTGACAGATCTAGTATAAATATGTCATTTATTGTCATGTAGTTGGTAATCTCAGCCCTATGTACCACCACTTGACCATGTTTAACAATATAATGAAGAAAAAACATCATCATTGTCTTTAAAATGGAGCATGAATGATTAAGATACTGTGAATTTAAATAATTCACATTTTTTTAAAGGATTGTATCTATTTTCTGTTGTAGACATGATGAGAATGATGTAGAAGTCCTGATTCCGTGCCTGACCTTGCCCAATGTGTTTGAATTGACCTACTACGGCAACAATGTGATATCACCGTTCCTCCTGGAGAGTGTAATAGGTAACTGTGGCAGGCAGTGCAGGGAGTCAGTACAACAGTAGGAACATGGGGATTGGTGGTCAGAGCATCTTCCGAGGCAAAGCAGTGAACTGACTGTAAACGTCCAGTTTTCCACCCTTGCCAAAATAGACTGGAATTTCTGCGCTCGATCATAGCGCCACCAGTGGCTAATACGAGTTATGTCCCTTCTATGCCCTTCTTATTGAGCAATCAGATTCCCTCTTAGATCACTTGCATTTGCTCCAAACAAAATGGTAGCGCCCAGTCAAGATGATCTGATCGATGATCAAGATCCATATTTTAATTATACGGGCCTTTCCTCATGAAGTGCATGAAGTCACTTGAGCACTTTGATTAAAAACATGAAAAGATTTGGAAAATATCTGTCAATGCCCAGTTGACGGTACATATCTTTTGCAAATCCTGCAGTCACACGAAATTTTCATTTTGAAATCCATTTTTTTTACGAACCGGATGTCAATTTCATTACACAATTTTGATTGGACTATGCATGGGCTTGTTAGTCCAGCCAAAATAGGACTCCATAATTCCAGCCTAGTTCGGCAAGGTGGTGACTTGACTTTTTTACTGTCAGTTAACTCCCTTGCCTTGGGCTGATGTGTGCAGAGTGGTGTTCCGTAGGTGTGCCAGAAACCTATGGCCATGTGGTTGAACCATGTCTGACCCTAATTTGGTTTCTAGGACTCCATACTTGTGGCCATGGGTTTCATCTTTGCTCATGCTGTCAGCCAATGACCTGAATAGTTACAGGCATCAGTTGTCCTTCTTTGCCAAAATGTTTGAGTCGACGAGCCCGAACTTGGTTCTCAGCATCCTGTTTAGTACATTCTAGTGTGGACATATTAGGACATTATTAGCTTACCAGACTGAAGAGAATGTTACTAGACCAGGGCTTCGGACTAGTGGTTAGTCACAGACTGGTCATACAGCTGGAATGATGCTGTTTGCAGCATTAAACAGTATTCACTACCTCAGACATAACTCAGCAGGGGTCCGGAAACCGTCATATGCGCCGGACATGTCCGATTGGGAATCTCAAATGTCCGTTTTAAAATATTGCTTACCGGACATTTTAAAAAGTATTGTCCGGACATTCTTAAATTTTGACCGGACATGATCAACAGTTAGAACTGAGCAGCTTCTGTCTGCAGTTGCAACACAATGAAGATTAACTACACTGACAAGCTTTGTTTGTTTTGATTGCTGTAAATACATCGTACCTACATGATAGTCCAATCAGTCAATCACTGTAATAGACAATAAACTGAGTTGACACTGATTCATCGAGGATTAATTACTGAGAACATCTTGTTAATTTGAGTGAAAGGTGTTTACAACTGTACATTAATACCTTGCATCATCGATGTACCTCATTATCCTCACAATGCTACGATACGTAACCTCAGACAAGAAGCGAAAGCGTGACGACAGCCAGTCGACCGATGCAGATCAGTCGAGCGGATCTGCCAAACCCTCAAAGTCTGGACGATCATTTTGTAAGTCGTGGCTAACGACTTTCACTTGGTTGACATACAATGAGGATTTGCAGATTTTATTGTTTTCAGTAGGTAGTCGTATATTGAATCTTGATTGACCGCCATTTTGCTTTCTAGGACGATCGATATCCAATTTTTTTTATGGTCAATAAATAAGTACAGATGAAAAAAGTATTCAAATAACTATTGCTATCAACGATATTTTAGTATTTGTGATTAAATTATCTGTCTTGTTTCTAAAAAATCTTAAGTTTAAAAAAAAAAATTCCCTTGAGGTCACGTGATAACCAAATATGGGATAATAGTCTCGATCCAAATGTTACAACGCGTACACTTGAGCAGACTCATGAATATAACTCATGAATATTAATTAGACCGTTCACTACGTTAACAGATCGTTATTATAACAGAAACAAACGTATGTTTTCCATGTAAATCTAAAATGATATTATTTGTTATTAATTGTCCTTTGAATTAAACAATTTAAATTGAAACAATTCATAATTCATCATATTATGAATACGTAAACTTGTAATGTGTGTGAAAAGTCGTACTAAAATACGCTATTTGAAGGGGGCGTGGCCTAAATGCAAATGTCCGATTGGGATTTTAATTACATTAAGTAATACGTTACCACTGTTATACCGAGGCTGTTGTCTCCCACAACTGCTGCTATAGCGAAATCTACCACAGAGATCTCAATTACCTCATGCAGCACGTGCGTAGCCACCTAGCTGCCATGTGACACCCTTCACTCTTGTCTCCTTCGTCTGCTTAGCAAGACGTGTTTTCTCCTGCTGAAGCGTTCCTTGAAGATTTGGTGATATTTATTATAGTTTATTCTCTAATAAACTGTGCTTTTATGGGGCGTTGCGGTAGCTACGCTTGGTTATAATTTTCCCGCCAAACGGAAATTTTTTCCCGCCCTTTTTTCTATATACTTGCGGGGTTCGCGTATGCACGTTGTGTTTTACGTTTCCCCTGTTCTTGTATGTTTTGGGGGTTAACATAACTTATTTCTTTAATAAAAGTTATATGTGTATGTTATATGTTCACATTGCTCGTTTATTTTCTTGTGAAAATGTTCGTTTGTGAATCATTGTGGTGCGTGCGTTGTAACCATGTTTTGTTCTTTGTTTATAGCAAACAATCAATGTCTGACATGGATATGTCCCCAGTATCTACCCCCCTCTACCCCTGCTCCTCGGAGTTATGGGGTGTGCAGAAAGTTTTTGTCGTCCCGGGATCCCCACGATCGTTGCCCGCGGTGCAGGGTTCCTTGCGGGGACACCCGGTGCATCCTGTGCGAAGGTCTGGGGCCTGCGGATTTTGAGCGGTACCGGCTGTACGTACAGTCCGTCTCCACCCCTGTGGTGGCCGGTTCGTCCGGTCGGGGTCCCCGTGCGGGTACCACCTCCTCGGCTGCGGCGGATCCCCTTGCGGCCCTCGGGCTGTCTGGGGATTCCGTCGCCGCATTGTTGTCGAAACTTGTGGATTCCAAGCTGGCGGCCTTATCGCAAGATAGGCCGCTGGCTGTTCCGTCCCCGGCCTCTTCGGTGGCCGCGGGGTCGGACGCGGGGTCGGACGCGGGGTCCACCGGTAAAGCGGCGGATCTCTTGGCGGCCCGTGTGCTGTCCGGGGATTCTGTCGCTGCATTACTTGCATAACTTGTGGACTCCAAGCTGGCGGCCTTATCTCAGGATAGGCCGCTGGCTGTTCCGTCCCCGGCCACTTCGGTGGCCGCGGGGTCGGACGCGGGGTCCACCGGTACGGCGGCGGCTCCCGTGGTCACCGGTCCTTCCCCCGAACCGTTGCTCCCGCTATCGGTTTAGGACCGCGTGGCCATGGTTTATGACCTCTTTGAGGACATGCCCCGGCCGGTACCGCGGGGAATCCACGACTGTGGGTTCCTCCGAGGTATACGATGAGTCTTCCGACACGGCTTTCCCCGCATCAACCTTGCTGCGCGGTTTCAAGCCTTCCTTGGAGAACGCCTTCGCTGCGGCCTCCGGTCGGGGTCTCCCGTTGCCTCCGACGTCGTGGAGAAAGGGTTTATTCCTGGTACATGACCTTGCCTTTCCCGAGGCTGGTCCTACCGCGGAGGCCCATGTTGAGCGGTTGGGTGTCCGTGCCCCACCGGCTGCTACGGTAACGCAAGCTACCTTGCACCAGCTGGACGCCCTCGCTCGGCACTCCATGTCTCACGGAGACACTTACTTGGCTGCAGCGGCCCGTCTGGTCGAAGGTTCTCCCACGGACTGTGACCAGCGCATTTACAACTGCCTGCTCAGTTTAAATGCTTCCCTGGAGTACGTTGCCGAGGACTCTCGGCACACACTTGCTCTTGTTGGGTCCCTGCATAGGCGCCTGGGTGCCGCTCCTAACCGGAGCGCGCCCCAGGCTGCTGCGGCCGGTAGGTCTAAGGGGTCGGGTTCTTCTTCCTCTGGGAAGTAGCCCCGCCCTGAGGGCTCCGGTATGGGCAATCAGCTGCCCTTTCGCGGGAAGACGGGGAACTGGGGGAAGCCCAAGTCGTCGACGGACGGCAAGGGCCCCTCCAGGTGACTCTCATTGGAGGGGTTCGTATGCCGACAGCGCCAACTTCGGTTGGCCCTTAGGCGAACCCGAGTCACTTGGCCCTGGACAGTTGCGCCTGTCGCAACCTGTCAGGGCCCCCTCTCCTTCCCCAGTGGGAGCCAGACTCCAGACTTACTGGGAGAATTGGGAACAAGTGTTCGACGACCCGTGGGTGGTCAACACGATTCGGTACGGCTATCGGCTTGATCTCAAAGCGAATTCGCCGCTCACCGTTGCCCCGTTGGCAGGTTTCGATTCGGAAACCGATCTTCCCATCCTCGCCGATGCCATCGGCAGGTTGGTGGAGAAGGGGCAGTACGGGAGTTAGCTCTACCAGAAATAACACCGGGGTTTTACTCCAGGATATTTCTCGTTCCCAAGTAGGACAGTGCCGAACTCAGAATGATTCACACGTCCGCTCCCTGGCTGTTCACCCGGTTAACCACCCCCATAGTGGGGTTCCTCCACAGGAGGGGTGTCCGGTACTTCGCGTACCTGGACGACTCGCTAGTAGCAAATCGAATGACGGACACCCTGTCACGCCATCTCGATTTCGCACGTCGGCTCTTGGAGCAATTTGGGTGGATTATCAATCTCCCCAAGAGCGAGTTAACCCCTTCTCAGAACTTGCTGTTCATCGGAGGTCGGTTCAACACGGTGTCCCATCGCCTCTTTGTCCCCCCAGACCGGTGGCACAAAATTCAGGCGATGATTGCCAAAGTCTTAGCGGTGCAACAGACTGTTCACTTTTGGGAACAGCTGTTAGGGCTACTTGTATCAGCCCAGGACTGCACCGCACGGGGTCGTCTCCAACTCCGCCCGCTGCAACGGTTTTTAATCCAGTTGTTAGCAACGGAGGTGAACAGTGCGACCGTCGCCCTCCCGGATCGGCTCCGACCGCATCTGGTGTGGTGGACGGTCCCTTACATTGTCTTATCAGGAGTCTCTATGCGGCCCTACCGGGCCACGTTGACCCTGTATACAGACGCCTCTCTAGTGGGCTGGGGCGCCCATCTAGAGGGGGAGGTGAGCTCGGGGCTGTGGTGCTTAGACGAACTAGGTCTTCACATCACTTGTCTCGAGTTCAAGGCAGTGATCAACGCAGTCAATCACTGGAAGCATCGTCTCGTCGACGCCCGGCTCATGCTGGCGACCGACAACACGACGGTAGTGTCCTATGTGAACAAACTGGGGGGAACCCACAGTCACTCGCTACTCGATCTCACGTTCGAGTTTTACGCTCTGGTGGACAGTGTCCCGTGCCAGATACGCGCCCGTCACATCCCAGGTGTGCGGAACGTACTGGCCGATGCTCTATCGAGGCCTCAGGATCCGAGCCCCACAGAGTGGATGCTGAACCCAGTAGTGTTTCAGTGGCTGTGCGAACGTTTGGGTCGTCCGATGGTCGACCTGTTCGCAACGCGGTTCAACAATCAACTCCCGTTGTTTGTATCACCAGTCCCGGTCCCGAGGGCCATCGATCACGATGCTCTCACGTTAGACTGGACGGGCTTGGTCGCTTATGCTTACCCGCCGACAGCGTTGATACCACACATTCTAAGCCGGCTCCGAGGAGTTCGCTGTCGAATGTTACTGATCGCGCCCATGTGGCCGAACAGATCGTGGTACCCCGACTTGCTGACCCAGGTCACGCAGTCGCCACTTCCACTGCCTGTGAGACCGGATCTCTTGATCCACCCTCACACCCGTCAGCTTCATCCAAACGCAGGGCAGTTCAATCTGCACGCGTGGATGTTGTCACCGAGCGTCTGAGGAGTAAAGTTTTTTCTCGCCGGGCGTCTCGGGCATACGTTAGTATGCATCGTGATTCTACCCAGAAGGTGTATAATGCACGTTGGGTTATTTTCACGAAGTGGTGTTGTAAACATCACATTCATTCGCCAGATAAGGTATCTGTGCAGGATATTGCTCGTTTCATGTCTCACTTGCGAGAGACCCGGAAACTCTCCGGGGGTTCCATTGCCAACTATGTCTCGTCCGTTGCTACGGTACGGGACGTTGCTATGGGTACCAGTCTCTCCAAAGAGCCGGTGATAGGGGGTATTATCAAGGGTTTCAAACAGCACGATCTTAAGAAGGGCCGCCTTCGGGCACCGGCCTGGGATCTTTGGCTAGTGTTGCAATCACTTACGGAAGCTCCGTATGAACCCTTGCATAGCGCTTCGTTCCGGCATGTGACTTGGAAAACAGCATTTCTCCTCTCCTTTGCCACGGCAGCACGTGTATCCGAAATTCATGCACTCGATGTCGCCAAGGTACGATTCGATAGGGGTGACGAAGGAGCGGTCCGCCTGGGCCTGCTCATGGGCTTCGTCGCCAAGAATCAGAGAGTCGGGCAAACCGAGAGAGAATTCACTGTAAGATCACTCAAAGAAATCTTACATCCTGCTGATACTGAGGACAGAGCGCTGTGTCCGGTTAGGGCCCTTAAGTATTATCTTAAGGCTTCGAATGAACGTAGACAAGGGCGTGACCGTCTGTTCATATCGTGTAACCCTAATCGCACGGTTGACATACCTCGCAACTCGATTGCGTTGTGGCTTCGTTCTGTCATCAATCTGGCGTACCGGTCTCGGGGGTTACCGGTAGCGGGGTCAAACCCGCACGAGATCAGGGCGCTAGCGGCAACATTTGCCCTACACTCGAATATCTCTGTTCGCAGAATATTACGAGGTTGTTACTGGCGTTCTGACTCGGTTTTTGCCAATCATTACCTCAAACAGGTCGCTGATGCCGTCGTGGAGAGTGTGCACCGTCTTGGCCCGCGGATCGCGGCGCAAGCGGGCACCTAAGGGGTGTGCCCAGCGCAATTCCGAACTCCTCAGGCGTCTGACCTTGCACGGTGGTCAATCTGGGTCTACTCCAATGTTCCCACTGCCGTGGGTACAGGAGTTGGGGTCCCGCAAACCAGCGCACTCACACCACAGGTGAGGGCGGCTTTTTGTGTGCTTTGTCCTTATTTGTATTTTGACAATTATGTCTTTAATTGTCTGTCGTGTATCCCAACCTTGTGATGCATGCTTACAAATACTGGAATTAGGTCACGCGCCTAATGCATACTTTAAGTAGGCTTGCTCTGGGATATACGGTCTGAATGAAATTAATTTCCCTCTTTTCGACTGTTTAACCTGATCTAAGATTAAGCTAACGCGGATACAGTGTTCTCATCCGCTGCGGCGATGAAATACCTATCCAGTGGGGCCGTTTGGAGTCACCAATCGTTTTGGCAATGACGATTGAGCCTTACGGTATGCGCTTGACAGTGCTTTGGTATTCCTATAGGGTAACGCCTAGCTAGGTGCATGCGCATCGAGTGCTTCCGCCTTGGTGTTTACTTCCGCTGGTCGGAAGGAACGCTAGCAGTCAGGATTCGGGTTGTAGGTGCTCCCCACCGCCTACTGTGGTAGTCAGCCTCGGTATAACAGTGGTAACGTATTACTTAATGTAATTTGTAGAATTTTCCTATTCGGAATATTCTATAAGTAATACGTTACCACTGGGCTGCTGCCCGCCCGTCCGTCCCCCGAGCACTTGCTCTCGCAGGAGACAAGAGTGAAGGGTGTCACATGGCAGCTAGGTGGCTACGCACGTGCTGCATGAGGTAATTGAGATCTCTGTGGTAGATTTCGCTATAGCAGCAGTTGTGGGAGACAACAGCCTCGGTATAACAGTGGTAACGTATTACTTATAGAATATTCCGAATAGGAAAATTCTACAAAATTTTCCGGACCCCTGTAACTCAGTATTGCCAATTTTAGCATTATTCGAGGAATATCAAGAATCATGAGCCAATAATTCCTCCATTTAAGTGTGTATCACACTACTTTACCTGAATTGCATGTGTGTGGAATCTCTTTTAAAGCGACATGCCAACCACTGTGGAATCTCTTTTAAAGCGACATGCCCACCCTTGTGGTTTTCGAAGTGTTAACATAATTAGTTTGTTTTCCTCCCAAATTATGTTGACTTGCTGTGGATGTGGTTAAAGAACTGAAATACCGGTATTGCTCGTTTCTGTGTTAAACCAGCTTGCCATAAAAGGCGACTATGCTCGTCGTAAGAGGCGACTAACGGGATCAGGTGATCAGGCTCGTTGACTTGGTTGATGCATGTCATCGATCCCAATTGCATGGATCGATGCTCATGAAATCAATAACAGGATTGTCTGGTCCAGACTCGATTATTTACAGACCGCCGTCATATAGCTGGAATATTGCTGAGTGAGGCGTTAAGCAATAAACAAAAAAACAAAAACTGTGTTAAACCGAACTCCTTGACTGTTGTCAACGTTGACCCCAGGAAGCTGGTCTGCTGCAGCATTCTGTCTGTTTCTGTTGCAGCTAATGCCTTGATGTATGTTGGTAAGTTTTCACCGACAAACACCCCTCTGCAGGAGAATGGACCAGTCAGAGTATGCAGAGAAAGAGTGATCGGTGTTGCTGAGGAACTTTGCAAACTGCTTCAGGAAGAGTTTATTTTTGTCCCAGTGAGTGTTTTATATATATATTACTTTTTAGTGAGAAGTATACACTTTATGTAGATTTTTGCATTGGACGAGAAGCCTGTCACATGTTCATAAGCGTATAAATCACATAAATTGACATTGACACTGTTTTGGGCTGTACTATTTCAGCCTTGTGGGAGACTGAATGAGGCCTTATCTGATATGGTAGAACAGTTCATCTCACTGGAGATTCTTGCAGAGGAGGAATCAGAGGTATGGACTTGTCATTGTCTCACAAAAGTAGGATGAGTGTTGCCATATGTTGTGTTGCACTGTAACAGTGTTGCCATATGTTGTGTTGCACTGAAACAGTGTTGCCATATGTTGTGTTGCACTGAAACAGTGTTGCCATATGTTGTGTTGCACTGAAACAGTGTTGCCATATGTTGTGTTGCACTGAAACAGTGTTGCCATATGTTGTGTTGCACTGTAACAGTGTTGCCATATGTTGTGTTGCACTGTAACAGTGTTGCCATATGTTGTGTTGCACTGAAACAGTGTTGCCATATGTTGTGTTGCACTGTAAGTGTTGCCTTATGTTGTGTTGCACTGTAACAGTGTTGCCATGCTTTTCAGTAACAAAATGGCAAAATGGCAGTCATATAGGTATGAGACCCGTGAAGATCCGGGGTGGAATAGGTCTTCAGCAACCCATGTTTGCCGTGAAAGGTGACTATGCTGGTCGTAAGAGGCGACTAATGGGATTGGATGGTCAAGCTCACTGGCTTGGTTGATGCATGTCATGATGTCTATTATCCCTGGATTGTCTGGTCAAGACTCGATTATTTATAGACCGCTGTCATATAGCTGGAATACTGCTGATTGAGGCTTTGTTGTTTAACACCACACTTAGCAATATTCCAGCTATATGAAGGCAGTCTGTAAATAATTGAGTCTGGACCAGACAATCCAGTGATTAACATTGTATCCCAATTGCGTGGATCAATACTCATGATGTCAATCACAGGATTGTCTGGTCCAGACTTGATTATTTACAGACCGCTGTCATATAGCTGGAATATTTCTGAGTGCGGCGTTTAAAACAAACGAACAACGTTGAACATAAGTATGACTGAAGTAGACACTGTCAGTCTATGACCTAAACTTTTAAGACTACTAGCCCGATTATGGCTTATAACGATTATGGCTTTTAACGTCATGTTTCATAGATTTTAGTGTTATCATATAGACTATGCTGAGTTTACCAGACAGAACAGAATTTTACTAGTTTTGGGCTTCAAACTTGTGGCTAAAGTCATAGATTGAACTATGTATGTTTAATTTGTTGAACTGATTTTACCAGGAGACATGTATTGCAATTTTTCTTTCTTTGACATGCCATTGTATTTCCATCTTTGGTGTGTCTTATGTTTAATAAGAAGTGTGGGTGTTTTGTCTTAGGTTGTATATACATGTATCACACGCCATGGGGATGCTGGGTAGTGTCTATTCTGCTGTCCCTATGACCATCTGATATAAAACCTTCCTCAAATACTGACTGCTGTGATATCAGATAGAAAATGTGGCTTTGATTTTCTGCAACTGACTTTGTATTGCCAGTATCCACCCACCCTTGTTGTTCTGTATCCACCCTCCCTGATTGTTCAGTATCCACCCTCTCTGATTGTTCAGTATCCACCCTCCCTGATTGTTCAGTATCCACCCTCTCTGATTGTTCAGTATCCACCCTCCCTGATTGTTCAGTATCCACCCTCTGATTGTTCAGTATCCACCCTCCCTGATTGTTCAGTATCCACCCTCCCTGATTGTTCAGTATCCACCCTCCCTGATTGTTCAGTATCCACCCTCCCTGATTGTTCAGTATCCACCCTCTCTGATTGTTCAGTATCCACCCTCCCTGATTGTTCAGTATCCACCCTCCCTGATTGTTCAGTATCCACCCTCTCTGATTGTTCAGTATCCACCCTCTCTGATTGTTCAGTATCCACCCTCCCTGATTGTTCAGTATCCACCCTCCCTGATTGTTCAGTATCCACCCTCCCTGATTGTTCAGTATCCACCCTCCCTGATTGTTCAGTATCCATCCACCCTGATTGTTCAGTATCCACCCTCCCTGATTGTTCAGTATCCGCCTATCCTGATCGCTCAGTATCTGTTTGTTTCAGTATGACAATCTGTACACTACATTTGATCGTCAGTGGGCCAACCGTCTCTCAGCACAGCTGTCCTGGGCCGATGAGGAAGATGATGATACTGATGATACTTTTGTGGAGGAAAAGCCTCTCAAAGTCAGTACACGATATCTAGTCACATTATTTACATGTTGCCACAATCGCAATCCCAGAAACAGGACAAGTTCAAGAAAGGAGACCACTTTATTAGCTTTATTAGCTGACCTTACATTTAACCAGTGATTTCGTTTTGCCATTTTCTACATTTGATTGACTAACACCAGTAGTCTCCCTTGAAAATAGTGTTGATGACAAAAATAAATGTCTTTTAAGAGGGATTTAAAAGCTATAGTTTCAACAAAGAGGATGTATAACAGATGATAGCGCCTTAACCTCGAAAGTGTTCAACAACTACAGTCAAGTCTTGTTAATCCGACACTCGTTAATTCAACAATAGGCTTTTTCTGACACTAATGATGGGAACCGATTAAATCAGTGCTATTTAGACCCGTTAATCCGACTTGTCTTGCGCTCCAACTCTAAAACGACTAATTTGCAACAAATTATTTAAATCTTCAATCAGTCTCATTAATCCGACACAGTAATCAGTGTGGTGCGTGATCATCTGCCCACAAGTACACAGCGCTGTGTTTTGACGTCAGAGGGCAGCAGAGATAAACTTGCTTAACAATAAACAGTTAATGCTTTAAATAAACAAAACAGGATTAATCACATGCTTAGATTACCTCAATCTCATTAAGAGCAGATTAAATTCTCGCAACCACTGAGGACATCTCATTACAGGTCACGTCAAAACCAACTTTGGCGAACTTTGACCAACCAATGAAATGACAAGCAGGAAGTTGACATTAGCCACTAAGAAAGCACCTTTCTTGAGCTTTGCGGCACTAGATTTCAACTGGCGACTTCTATTTCAGACTATATGCTTTTTAAAGTATTTTAGAATCAGTCATACAACCCGTAACAGTAGTTTTGTGTTAAGCATCATATTTCATTTTTTTATTACAAAGTGTTATCTATCATATAGTTGTTCAATTTTCGATCACGAATGTTGATACTACTTAATTTCGTACATACTCGTTAATCCGACATAATCGTATGCAACCAGCCATGTCAAGTACCAGGACTTGACTGTAGTTAGTATATAGTTCTTTTAATTGTAATCTTGGTAGGATGCAGGTTTGATTTTGAATGACATTTTCAGGGTATTTAGTCAATGATTGAACCTCTCAATTGAAAACACTAAAAGTTAACAATCTCATTAACACTCATTCTTTTAATTCAAATAGAAACATTTGATGTTCGAGTATATATATGCAACAAGAAGGGAAGTGCTTTATGCTAGCAGCTCTAGTTGTCCTTCACTGTTTCAGCTGAACATTGAACAGCAGACTGTGTGCGATAAGCTGCAATTCTATCACCGGATCCTGGCCCCCATCCTCGAGACATACCTGGTCACAGCCTACAGGATCTCAGGGAGTCTGGAGACCGAGATGCCAGGTGAGATCCCTTACATCATCCCGGGTGGGGGGCGATTGGGTAGCCTCGTGTTTAAAGCGCTCGCTAGTCACGCCGAAAGACCCACATCATCCCGGACGGGGGGCGGTTGGGTACCCTCGTGTTTAAAGCGCTCGCTAGTCACGCTGAAGACCCACATCATCCCAGACGGGGGGCGGTTGGGTAGACTCGTGTTTAAAGCGCTCGCTAGTCACGCCGAAGACCCACATCATCCCAGACGGGGGGCGGTTGGGTAGACTCGTGTTTAAAGCGCTCGCTAGCCACGCCGAAGACCCACATCATCCCGGACGGGGGGCGGTTGGGTAGACTCGTGTTTAAAGCGCTCGCTAGCCACGCAAAAGACCCACATCATCCCGAACGGGGGGCGTTCGGGTAGACTTGTGTTTAAAGCGCTCGCTAGCCACGCCGAAGACCCACATCATCCCGGGTGGGGGGCGGTCGGGTAGACTCGTGTTTAAAGCACTCGCTAGCCAGGCAGAAGACCTACATCATCCCGGACGGGGGGGCGGTCGGGTAGACTCGTGTTTAAAGCGCTCGCTAGCCAAGCCGAAGACCCACATCATCCCGGACGGGGGGCGGTTGGGTAGACTCGTGTTTAAAGCGCTCAATAGCCACGCCAAAGACCCACATCATCCCGGACGGGGGCCGGTCGGGTAGACTCGTGTTTAAAGCGCTCGCTAGTCATGCTGAAGACCTGGGGTCGATTCCCGACATGGGTACAATGTGTGAAGCCCATTTCTGGTGTCCCTCGCCGTGATATTGCTGCAATATTGCTAAAAGCAGCATAAAACTATACTGACTCACTCATCCCGGACAGCTGTTTGCGTGGAACTCTTTCCAAGATTCATGTTTATACTGCCCCTGGCACAGATTGGATCATCAGTCATGTTGTTGGAGATGATCAAGTTGGCTGCTGGTAGAGTGTCTCAAGGAAAGACCAGCTCTGTGTTGTACTGGACAGAATGTGTCGTTCAGCCAGTCTGTAGTTTTCACTGCTATCTCCTGGCATTCTTTGGGTTGATGATCACTATTGTTCCTGGACTGGTATGTCTGCTTTAGATGGAAGTAATGATGACTGATGCATCACATTTACTTGCTTACAGTCCATCCATGGGAACCTGGATTAGATAGGTCCCAAGCAAACTATAAGCATGCCTTTTGAGGACAGTAGATTGCCTGTTATCTTACGCTGAGGGCTTGGGAATCATATTATTGACTGGTGTGTCCAGTAGGTAGAGCATTGGTATCAGATGTGTGTACTGTCTGCGACTTTAGCTACTATTGTACGATTCTGTTTGGTCAAGTAAGCTCAGCTAATAACAGTAAATAATAATGACAGTAAATTCCACTTATAATGAGGCTACGAGCTAATTCATTCCATTTTTCTCCTGCCCTCTCAGAGGATGACTTCATGAGGATGCTGCTGGCACATGCTCAAGATCGAGTCGCAAAGAACTCCTCATTGTATGGTAAGTGTTGATGTGAAGGTGAGGTTTGTGAGATCAGGTGTGGTCATGGCAGGCCCACTTCATGTGGTCGTACAGCCCGTTGTCATGCAAATTGTAGACGTTTACCACTTAGGTGAAACCCATGAGCATTGATTGTTGATATGGTGTTGACAGAACATCGATTATAATGATGTGAGACAAATGGACACATACCTACTCAGCCGTGCCATTTGACCCCTGAGAGAAAAAGAATCCTGTTGACTTAATCGTATTTAACTGAAGTAAAGAAAACATTTATGAATTTCAAGAACTATTCAAAATGGTCTCTGTTAAAGAGATCCTGAGATGAAGATTCTTTATGAGTAAAATGTTATAATACTTGTAAATCTTTGTATAAGATAAATAAGATGTATTTTCACTTCGTGTAACCTGTTCAGTGAGGATTATGCGGCCCTTCACTAACCAGAATATTTACCTCCCCAGCTGAGAGTGCCTCGATGGACACACTGAAGAATGCAGTGAAGGCGTATCAGAACATCCGTATTGTGGAGTGTTACAATGCCAGCAATTTGAGAATTATCGGACTGTGTGACCATTACCAGGTCAAAGAGAGGCTTGGACATTATATTGAACTCCTTGAGACACTCAGAGAGTAGTCTCCCTTGGACCAAGGACCTTTATAGTCGAACAAAGTCGTCCCCTTTGTTGAAACTCTTAGAGATTTCTGTTCAGGTGTCTTTAGAAGCGATGCATAGGATTGGAATGCTTCCATGGATGGATGCATAGGATTGGAATGCTTCCATGGATGGATGCATAGGATTGGCATGCTTCCATGGATGGATGCATAGGATTGGCATGCTTCCATGGATGGAGTGCAGGTTTCAGGTACCTGATATGGCCGAGAATCTGTGATAGACGATGTAGACTTCCGCTGCTTCCTGTGCACGACCGTGTGTCATGTTGTTAAGTATTATGTCGGACATGAACATTGGCTCACTCCCTGTAGCCTCGCTGTGAGACAGGGTGTCACACACATGGCCTCTGAGCATCACGTGCATAATAAGACCTGCTGTATTGTCAACATGAACTCTATTTTGTGGCTTGTTTGTTTATGAATCAACATGTTGCATGTGTTTGTCAGCTGCTATGTGCAATAATTTAAGGATATGCGCACTGTCCTTATGATCATAGAAAGATATGTAAAATCTCTTCAGATAGAACCACAATTTGGTCATGTGTAAGAAATCATAAGTATAATATGTAAGTAATATTTATTAAAGAAGCATTTATTATCTGTTCAGAAGTCTTAGCTAATGCCACTTTAATTATCTGTACTTCGGAATCCACAGTACAACAGTGTGCATTCATTTGCTATATCTACACAAGACACTTGTTATTATGTGTTGTGTCAGTCGTCAAAAGTTTCTTGAAATTCTTTCAAATTGGACCAGATTATTTTTCGTCTCTTTACCATTTTTACCAATTTGGGCACTCCCAGTGACAATCAAGTATAAAAGAAGGTTGTGTCGGGTGAGCTACAGGGCCCATGGCTCATGACTTCTGTGTGTGTGAGTTTGTGTCTATGCACAAAAACTGTGAACATTTGGGACAAGAAGAGTGTATATTTTACATCGGTGTTTCCGATCAGCATTGTCTGCTTCAGCTCTGTACATTTATTGTATTAGTTGATCAACTTGTGTGGGAATCAATTTCACAATATAGTCACAAGTATAGATAATATAGTGACTTTAATTAATATACAAGAATTATGTCAGATATCATAAAATGATATCTTTGTAACCATGGTAACTCTGAAAAGTATGACTTACTACTTTACGTAATTACAGGAAGCACATCCCCGAAACACCATTTTGTACGCTACCTCAGATTTTATAATGTAGATTCACTTATTATGTTACCAATAAGGGAGCAGGTATGTGCAGAGTTAGTTTCTGTATATTTCATTGACCATTATAACGATCGTTCCATAGCAGCGTGACATAAAAAAACCTTTGTTACAAATAATTTGATGTAACAAAAAAGTATCTGAGCTCATGTCTCAACTTCAGATTAGGAAAACCCCCATTTTTCTGCATTTCTCAGAATTAAATGTTTTACATTATCTGTTTAACATTATCTTATTGTTGAAAGTTGTCAAGATTTGGAACTTTAAAAACTAATTCACTTGATAATCTGCAATCCTCCTTTGCTTCTAGGTTATTCTCTATTTACTGAATACATAGTGTCTCTATGAGACCAGTGACTGGAATTAGGAAATGTCCCCCAGACTGGAGCATAGTCACACTTTAATTGCTTGTATCTCTGACTATGATCTTTGTTAATTTAAGTAATGATAGACAAACTCACTTGACTATAGACCCTTTGAGATTAACCATTCTTGTTGTGTCTTGATGTAGGCAATGCACAGCAATGCAAATGACAACCTTTATGTTATTTTACATTGAAATGGTCAGGCTCTAGAAACTTGGCCTGGCACATTGGATTTATCGTAACTCCATTACTGCCATGTAAGTACTAGAATCCTGATGAATGGTCATCAGAGCAGAGATGTGATTGTAAAGCACTTCTACTTTCTTCGACATGGTGGGAGTGGCATCCCACGTTTCATGTAGTGAGACATAGGATACCACTGCAGACGTTAATAAATCTAAGTGTGCTCTCATGGGATTCATGCAACTTCACTGCACATTTCCGCAGAATTGTATTTGTCATGGTAGATTATTTGCTCACATATATGGACTGCCACTCGTTTCATTTTTGTTTTGCGTGACCTGTGATCTGTGATCTGTGAAACAGTCTCCAAGGATACATGAAAAACACATCGGGCATTAACGTTGAGGCAAAGAACGTTATCAAAGCTGCCTATGAGAGAGGTTGTTATGATCTTATTTATGACAATATTGTCACGGTCCAGGCACAAAAAATGGCAGACATTCACTGTTTGTTTTCCTGTGTACAGTTTTGTAGTAGGGGACTCCTCCCTTTGTTGCTACCTAGATCTATCTCTGCATTACCAATGATGTCATCGTATACCAAACGTGTAGAGCGATGCTCATGATGTTAATCACTGGATTGTCTGGTCCAGACTAGATTATTTACAGACCGCAGTCATATAGCTGGAAGTTTTCTGAGTGGGGTGTTAAACAACAAATACAGAAACAAACAACAAGCATTACCAATGTGCTAGCTTCCTCTCGCCAAAATTCATCTTTTCAAATATTTGTTATATTTCAATTTGTTTTGTGACTTCAGATGGACGTTATTATTTGTTTACCAGGAGGACTTGTAGAGGCTGGTTTTGTAAATGCATCGTTGATTTCAGACTAACCACTGTCTTCCTTATTCTGATGTTTGAAGGAGATTCCACAATGACATTTTGTTTGGTATCTTGGCACAGTATGATCTATATGCATGGTTTCTACTTGTCAAAGATTTGTATTTCCTTTCATTACTGCTTCCATGCTTCAAGCATCTTGTTATCCTCCTTAATGATTGATACACACATACAGCCTTCAAAGATGCCCAGTTGTCAGTTCCTAGTACTGTCAGACTGTTCTGGTGTTCCAGCTAGTCACACTGTTGTGGTCTTACAGGTAGACAGACTGTTCTTGTGTTCCAGATGGTCAGACTGTTCTTGTGTTCCAGGTGGTCAGACTGTTCTTGTGTTCCAGGTGGTCAGACTGTTCTGGTGTTCCAGCTAGTCAGACTGTTGTGGTCTTACAGGTAGACAGACTGTTCTGGTGTTCCAGGTGGTCAAACTGTTCTGGTGTTCCAGCTAGTCAAACTGTTCTGGTCTTACAGATAGACAGACTGTTCTGGTGTCCTAGATGGTCAGACTGGATTAAATGCAACTTAACCCAAATAATTTACTGCCCAGATAGTGATACGTATGTATTTTTAGGACCACTAACTGAAAAATCTGAATTGTTTCTTGCCCTTAGTTATATTAGGCAATCAGACTTGGACTGGTACCAGCATCTCTGTCTTTCCAACACATCCCTTCCTCTGTGGTGTACCAGTCCCCAGGGTACTCTTCTCTCCTTCCTCTGTGGTGTATGCAGTCCCAAGGAGAGTGCTCTCCCCTTCCTCTGTGTACACAGGCTCCAGAGGGGTCCTCTCCCCTTTCTCTGTATGTACAGTCCCAGGAGAGTGCTCTCCCCTTCCTCTGTAGTGTATGCAACCCCCAGGGGACTCTTCTCCCCTTCCTCTGTGGTGTATGCAGTCCCCAGGAGAGTGCTCTCCCCTTCCTCGGTGTAGACATTGTCCCCAGGAGAGTGCTCTCCCCTTCCTCTGTGTACACATTGTCCCAGGAGAGTGCTCTCCCCTTCCTCTGTGTACGCAGTCCCCAGGAGAGTGCTCTCCCCTTCCTCTGTGTACACATTGTCCCAGGAGAGTGCTCTCCCCTTCCTCTGTGTACACACAGTCCCCAGGAGAGTGCTCTCCCCTTCCTCTGTGTACACACAGTCCCCAGGAGAGTGCTCTCCCCTTCCTCTGTGTACACACAGTCCCCAGGAGAGTGCCCTCCCCTTCCTCTGTGTACACACAGTCCCCAGGAGAGTGGTCTCCCCTTCCTCTGTGTACACACAGTCCCCAGGATAGTGCTCTCCACTTCTTCCTCTGTGTACACACAGTCCCCAGGATAGTGCAGTGTTTATCCTGTTGTGTATAAGATGGCTTCCATGGCTTTGCATAATTTGCAATGAACAAGTCTACATCATAAGTGGCTGCCAAATATCGAAACAATCTCCAGGGACCAGAGCTACTTGTTCAGCTTGTTTTAGGTATGCATTCTCAGTCTATAGGAAATCCTGAACACCATCAATATGCTGAGGATCTCTATGACTGATGTTGTTGATGTAATTCCCAGCCTGTAGTGATGATCAATGTCAGTACAGCAGTTTGAAAATGTATCCGATTGTGTCCAGTTCAAATCGTCCCGTTTTCGTACACTTATATTTCATTTAACCAGTGGATGAAAGTAGATGTTAGTCTCTGCTCCAGTTTTGTTATTGTTTCTATATATCATTTCACATTTCTTCTCAGTTGAGGATTAATGATTGCATTTTGTATGATAATTTATTGGTAATTATATCAATTTCTGCATTTAATATTATTATTTATTTTTAATTATATTCATTTACAGATACGTATAAACATTAAGAAAGACACTGATGGAGATAAATTACCGTAATTACTTTATCAAATTTTAGGACAATTCTGATCCATTTTTGTTGATCATGTTCATGCAAGGATATTTTTATGCAAAGTTTGGATGGTTGAAAATTTTAGTAAGCATTTATATGTTCATTATATGTAAGGCATAGCATTTGTTGGACATTAAAACATACAGTCACATCTATTTCATTAACATCTAACTAAAGATGTCTTCAGAGACATCACACTTAATGCTCCAATTCCATGTGCAATATACTGTGAGGGACTGTCAGTGTCAACAACTGGCTCTGGGTATGGGTGAGGTGTTTCAATGATGCTTGTAGATGCACCAGGCACACTACTACTGGAGTTGGGCAGCAATGAAACCTGTAGATGAGGCAGTAGGAAATGTCAAAATGTCGTAATTTGGTAGGGTGGGTTAAAATGGGGTTTGATGCCCCTCACACTATTTTGAAAATAACAAGGGACACACATGACCCTTGTCCCACAACATCTGCTTACATTGTATTGAAATATTAGTGTACATCTGTGTCTGTGCTTGTTGTAACAGGAGACTAACACGATCGGGTGACTTGGTTGATGCATGTCATCGTATGCCTATTGTGTGGATCGATGCTCATGATGTCAATCACTGCATTGTCTTGTCCAGACTCAATTATTTACAGATCGCCGTCACATATATTGCTGAGTGAGGCGTTAAGCAACAAACAAACAAAACAAAACATCCATGTCTGTTTGATTTTCATGTGAATCCCTCCTCCACTCAAGGTTACAATTGGACAATTTATGTGGACCTCAGCCTGGAAACTTTTTCAAATTAACCAATAGTTGCTACTCTTTTCAAAAATGTACATTTGGAGCATGTAGGATGAACTAAAAAACTGAGGCTTCAGTTATATATATGTCTTTGAACACTATAACAATAGTAGGGTGCATTAACAAAAAAGAGGCATATTATTTTAATTTAGTACCAAGATTCATGCTACTTGGGTCTTCTTTCCTAGACAAGTAATTGTTACTTTAGAAGTTACCCAGATATATATTCTGTGTAATGGGTACCATTGATATTTATATACACAGTGCACACCACGATAACACTTTGATCACCTTCAAGTTTGCATGTACTCCTGCACTATAATACAGGTGAACATTTACAAAGACTGATCTCAAACAGGTTATACTAAATACTAACTGTGTGGTTGAGCGTGGATGTTATTGGTGTGAGAACTTTGAGAGATTTGCACATCTTAGAAACAGTTAGCTGTAGTGTTTACGGCTGTGGCGATTCGCTGCAGCTTCAGTGCATTAAGATATGCTGTGTCACGATATTGCCTTGATACAAATGTGTACCTATGGTCATGTAGCTTCAAGAACCTTACATGTTTATTATAGGAGACATTTCAATTGGTTGAAAGCATATTCACATTTTATTTGGTATGACGATGAATTGGGAAATACTGTTTTTCGGTATGTGACCCAAAGTTCACAAGCTGTTATTAGTGGACTAAGAATGTGTTTGTTCGATACCTGTTGAAAAATATGGTTCGTCGTAATGTTGAGTTCCTGATTTCATTATCATGTAGTGTGTGGTGACTTGACTTTCAGGGTGTACATTGTGACTGAGTGAATCGCTACAGCCAGTGGGTTGTCACATTCATGTGACTGTGAATATATTCTTGATTTCAATGCACAAACGAATTACTTTGTAACTTTCTTTTTATCTCTGACAGAATCATCTTGTTACACAGCATTTATCCAGTGATGATGGAATTAATATTGACAACAATGGAAACTTCAATCATGACTAACAGTGATTTACTTATTAACAGTGTTTGGACGACTACTGTGTATGACAATGTCTTGTGTATTCTGATGTTAGTCTGAGATTATGTTCAGTATACCTTGCTATTTATTGACTCTGTTGGCAGTTTATATGGTGTTTGTATAGTACATAGGAACGGATTCGCTCACTGTATAGTTACTGTTGTCATTAAAAGCTGATGGAAGTAGATATAGAATGTCTTGTTGTATTTTCAGAACACTATCCTGTTTCTAGGGCTTGGATCCTGCCCCACACTGGAGCACATGTAGCATGTGTCTCCTTGGGCAAGTGACTGTCAAATATGCCTCTGTTCACCCAGCATTGAATGGGTTAACGTGAAATGAGATGATGTGACTGTCAACCTTCTAGAGCCTCGTGGCAGCATGTGTTGTACTCCCCAGGGAGCTGAGAATGAACATCGAGTGTGCACTGATCAGATTGATAAAGATGTAGGCTTTGAGCATACCCCTGGGTGGTGAGAATGAACATCGAGTGTGCACTGATCAGATTGATGAAAATGTAGGCTTTCAGCATACCTCAGGATGGTGAGAATGAACATCGAGTGAGCACTGATCAGATTGATGAAAATGTAGGCTTTGAGCATACCCCAGGGAGGTGAGAGTGAACATCGAGTGTGCACTGATCAGATTGATAAAAATGTAGGCTTTGAGCATACCCCTGGGAGGTGAGAGTGAACATCGAGTGAGCACTGATCAGATTGATAAAGATGTAGGCTTTGAGCATACCCCAGGGAGGTGAGAGTGACCATCGAGTGTGCACTGATCAGATTGATAAAAATGTAGGCTTTGAGCATACCCCTGGGAGGTGAGAGTGAACATCGAGTGTGCACTGATCAGATTGATGAAAATGTAGGCTTTGATCATACCTCGGGGTGGTGAGGAAACAGAGCAATCTAATGGCATTATTATTATTATTATGATGATGATGATGATGTTGAATAGTTGATGTCAATACGTAAAAACAGACACACTTTTGTCTTTGCTTGATGATGACGCTTATGTTAACTGTAATTTTAAAAAACACAAGATTGTTATATGACACCTTTAAATAAAAACAAACTAAACAAGAATTACTTCTGTTCATAGATTTTGAAAAGGCATTTCAATTTATAAAAAAAAAGTTTACAAAACTATGGATTTGGACCTGAAATGATAAGGTGGATAAATTTACTAACTTACGATACCGCATCAAACTTGAAACAAAATGGACATCTATCAGACTTTATTTACAAATGAAAGAGGCTGTCAACAAGGGAACCCATTGTCGCCATATGTTTTCCTCCTAGTCGCTGAAATCCTAGGATGTATGATTTGAAATAATAAAATTGAAGGGACTATTGTTCATAAAGAATAGCAGTATGCTGATGAAACTGATCTATTTTGAAATGGTGAAGATGAAAGCTTATATGCGGCTATAGAATTACTACATTCTACATAATGTCTCGCTTAAACATTAATGTAGACAAGACAAAAGCAATATTGATAGGCTCAGAAGCTGGAAGCAATGATCGATTATGTCAAGATTTAAAACAGAATGACAATAAGGAATTTGAAGTTTCCGGAAATATATTTAATACAAATTTAAGTGAATTCTGGTTAATCAATACTGAAAGAAAGTTGGAATCTCCACACAGCACTGTACTGATTACTCACAATGGATGTGTAGACTGTGCCGACGAGTCCGACAATCACGATGGACATCCAAAGGGGGATGCCTGCAGGTGGAGAAGAAGGAAGAAGATCCATCAGTACGTACTGGGGCAAATAGCAGCAACAGAACGGATGCGAACAAGGACATACACTGTCGGTGTGTTTCTAGATTTGCTGTGTATCCTATGCCCCACTGAAGTTATTAATGTTTTCAAGTATTGTGTTTATGGACATTTCTGTAATTCTCCTTTACTAAGTTTATTCAAAGATTATAATGAAATGATTCTCACCAAAGTAGACAAACTGTAATATGCATCCACAACAACCGAGCTCTACGGAAGCCTTTGGGGGACATTAGTTTTTTTCCTTGAAATGTCAAGATACTAAGCTGAAATTTCTAGATGCTAACATGAAATTGGAAGGTACTAACTTGAAATTTTAAGATGTTATGTTGAAAAAAACCCTAAAAAACAAATGGTCCTAAAAGGTTTCCATAGAACTACATTGTTACCAGTTTATTTATTTACTTGCATACTTGGAGAGCCAGAGCAGGTGTGAATAACGCCACAGCCAGGAATAAAACCTAGAAATTAGATTCATAGGACTAGAATGCACCATATAACATGATGTTAGTATACAAATAACTTCAAATTTTAAATGCAGAATATACCCGTGAAGATCCGGGTTAGAATACGTCTTCAGAAACCCATGCTTGCCGTAAAAGGTGACTATGCTTGTCGTAAAAGGCGACTAACGGGAACGGGTGGTCAGGCTCACTAACGTGGTTGATGCATGTCATCGTATCCCAGTTGCGAAGATCAATGCTCATGATGCCAATCACTGGATTGTCTTGTCCCGACTCGATTATTTACAGACCGCCGTCATATAGCTGGAATATATATATATGGTCCCGTTGTACAAAGAGTGCTAAGTTAAAAGTACTGCTTTGCAAATTGCAACATGGTTCAACACAACGGAATTCCGGATTTTCTCGTAAATTGAGAACATGTCAATATTTTGATGACTGCACGAATTTGTGTCAACAATTTCGGATATGAGACAATACTTAATTGTTTCTATACTTGCTATTGTCCAACAGGTGCAGGTCATGTCGAGTTTTATATCATAGGAACACTTCAGGGTATCATTTCACCATTGTTTGAAGTTTCACTTTAGTGGCAGCAAACTTTATATTTGTAAGAATCTTTACAATATCTGCATCAACTCACAGGGCCAAAGGCCGGATTTGAAACAAACGCAAATACAGTAGAAATGCATGTTATGAATGAATTAGGCTGGGATTTTATCTAAAACAATTATTAAAAAAAGATAATTATGCTTCAATTTTGTTGTAGAAAAAAGAAATTGTCTTCTACAAAACACTCAGTGTTACAATATGTTTGTTTTTAAAAAAACCTATTTCAATAACCATCGAGCAGCCAATTCCCTTTCACTGATCTACCCACCTGAACCAGGAATAAAGGAATCAAGTGAGACCGCTTCATCTGCTTCGGATTTAGATCTATGCATTAAGATTCAGAGTGACAAAACACTCTCCACAAAACTATGATAACCTGGTAGTTCAGGTGAACAATTGACTTGTCTTAGCATGTGTTTGTGATGGGTGCCACCGGTGGGAAAGGATACGCTCACCTTTTCGCGAACCCCGGTATCATTTGATATCAATTCATAAACACATGCTCATGATATAGTCGGATATGGAAAGGGGTTTGTTGCTATATTATGTTTATGGAAACATACTAATATTAATAATTTCATAAGGCAACAGTATTGTCAGGTGCTTATACAAAACATAGCCTCCATGCACATTAACGTGTGAGGGAGTATACCAACACGTTCAGCGTGTTTAAAGTTTCCCGGCATCTTCACAACCTGACATTATACTCCCCACAAGCCAGTGTTAAATTAAAACCTGTTCGCAATTTAATGTAGAGCATCCATCTATACAGTCTTTTTTAACAAGTACTCATCGTCCATGGGAAGCTTTAATTGTCTGTGGTGATGCGGATCTCCACGCCATATGTTAATAATGACATGGTTTCTGCACACTGACAGATCAAAGCTTACAATGTAACACAGTTATATTATCGAACGATTAAATTAAATGCTATTTTTTGGTGTCAGTATGGTAATCTTCCTTTTACCTGTGACTGAACATTTAGGAGCGTATGAAACACAGGATAAATCTAAACCTTGTCATGCACGATTTCAAGGGTCATGAACAGCATTATTTCACACGGTAGAAAATACATGAAAACGATACATGTTCAAAGCCACTTCAATGCTCCTTTATTAAATGACATGCGTCATAAATTTAAATATGCCGGCCAAATGATACGTACATTTGAAACACTGGTCTTTTGTGGAATTTAACAATTAAAGCTTTAAGGAAATGTCGGTGACGGGGCTGCTTCTGTATTTGCAAGTGGTTTGCATGATATTAGTAGACGGTCATTACAGTAAACTACGGTTATAACGAACACGCTTATAACGAACTTACGGATATAACGAACTTACTGTTTTGGTCCCGACTTTTTTCTGTAGTTATGCTGTATATATGCTTATAACGAACTACGGTTATAACGAACTAAAATTAGTAGTCCCTTTGAGTTCGTTATAACCGTACTTTACTGTATAAATACAATATTTGTTTGACAAATGTTTGAAGAATGTATTTGTCGATATCAGTAAACCTTAATTATAAATACAATATTTGCTGGAAAAATGTGAAGATAGTATCTGCCGATTACCTTTCTTTATACAGACGACCCATTATCAGAATGCTTAGATTCTATGCATAACATTTAAAAATATAAACTCTGACACAGGTGTAGCCAACAAAATAACAGAGAAAGGAAACTACGAGAAACAATAGACCTTCTTGTTTTTACTTTGTGTTTCTTGTGTAACGTTGATCTCGGCATTATTCCTTCTATATATCTGTGGCATGTAAAGAATCCGATTTGGGCCATACAAACCAATGATTGATATAAGGAACACCATTCCACGCCGCCGTGAATCGATACTACGCAGTGAACCAAGTGCCTGATCCATTCATTCACAACACACACGGGTACATTGATGTGAGCCTTTTGAAACCTTAAACCTGGTTTACTGGTTGGTTTGATCTGGGATAATATAAGTGTACCCACCTCATATATACTGACGATGCGTAACGGGTATAGAAGCGGGAGACATGTATAGGCGCCGGCAAGGAAGACGAGGCTTTGGCCTATGAAGACGTATGGGACCATAGTCCCGTACGTGTATATCTCCGAGGGGTAGCCAAGTAAGGACACTGACGATTGCAAGGTCAAGAACATGGAGATAGCCACGGAGAAGACCCCATCTGTCGGTTCCCCCAGGAGGTAGGTTTCTCTTGTGTTCTTACTCCTTACACCGAAGAACACCCCGATACCTAATGATGAGGCGAGCATCGTTCCCATGACAATGTAATCGGGGATGTTGAGAGTTTGCATTTTCATCTGAAAAAAAAAG